ACTACTCGTGTTCTGGCAGGTCACATAACCAATGTTTGGTTCACACTCAGAATGAACTACTTAGTTCTCAGGACCTACGAGCATCCTCATAATGAAGGAACGGTGGCTGTGATACATATCTGAACCCTACCTTTAAAATTCTCTGAATGTGCAGGCACCTAGCTCACATATTCTGCTCTCGTCGACCTACCCTGGCTTGTGTTTTTTTTTTCTTCAAGTAATGGGCGTCCTGCTCCCTGCTCCCGGCCCAAAAATACGTATTGTCGAGCAGGCTGTGCATGCTGACGCAGCGTTACCATGTGACCGAATCAGCATGTCTGCGTTACCCCGGACTTGCTGACCCCGGTTCCGGGTCACACCAGTTCTAGTCCCCGCCCCGGGCAACGGCGAAGGCCCCGTATCACACGGCCAGCCCGTCTCAACTCGAGTCCGCGGTGTAAAACGGGGCTGTGCCGTGCTCGGGGCGATAGCTCGGCCACGTCGAGAATTCCAGAAGGCACGTGCTCGACACGGTCTTGTGATCATGCATGCACCGAGGCTTGACGTGATCTCATGTGCTGGATTTGAGATCGAAGTTTGAAGCAAAATTACGTCGCCTCCACAATACCGTTGTTCGAATGGAATGGAAAGACCTTTAGGATCGGCTAGACCTGTGGAAATCAGTCTAGCTGATGCCACTACCACAAGGGGTTTGGAGCGACCCATCACATGATTTTCGGGGCAAAATCCACCGCATGCGGTTAAAGTAACAGCTGCATATGTCATGATGTGTGACGCGTTACCAGCTGTAGCCTCTCAGCTGATCGTGAAATGCCGACAGCTAACATTATCTCAAGATTAATGCAAAGACGCTTTATACCCACAGTAATTTTGTCCAATCATGCAAGTCAGGAGCTGGGCTCTAGAAGAGGTTTTCTCATCGCGCCGAACAGATTAGCAGCGCTCGGAGCGCCAGACCACGATGACATGGCACGTGATCTCAGACCTCGGGTCAGTGGGCAACGGGCCTCCGCCGTGCACGCGCCCTTCTGCGAGGCTAGCATAGAGGCGCTCAGACCATTCCATATGGTGCAAAGAGGAGCGCTATTGGAAAGCTGCATGACCGTTGATAAGCTGATAAGGTCACCGTTGATAAGGTCACGCTTTTGGTTTTCAGGTCCTTTTGTGAGCGCGTTGGCGAACAAATTTGGCTTCCGAGTCGTGACGATCGCGGGCGCCATCATCTCCAGCACTGGCTTCTTCATATCAGCGTACGCGGATTCCGTCAACTTCCTGGTGATCACGTACGGCCTAATTGGCGGTGAGTAGAAGTGCAGCTGGTAAGCCGCCAGTATTTTTTTTTTTGTCAGAGCGATGTCAATTAGTAAAGTATCGGTGTGATCGATGGTTGTGGATCTCAATGACATGTCTTTGTAGGTAAAGGCTAAAGCAGCATGTACTTGAAACACGAATAATGTATTTCGATGTTCCACCCAGGACCAACGTTACTTGCTGCGAACAAGCATAATGCTTTCTGTGCATACCTCTCGGGTATGTACTCAACGTCTACCTGCTATTGGGTCCGGCATTGTGGCCACCCGCTGTCATAGGTCGCACAAACTGTCCCACTCCGCGCCCTGAGGCCCAGTCGGGCGCCGGCAGGCGTCGGCTTCGGCATGATCTACCTGCCGGCCGTGATCGCTGCCGGCTTCTACTTCGACAAGCGCCGCGCGCTGGCCACAGGCATCGCCGTCTGCGGCTCCGGCATTGGCACGTTCGTGCTGGCGCCGCTCACCAGCTGGCTGGCGGACCGCTACGGCTGGCGCGGCACCATGATGGTGCAGTCAGGTAAGAACCACGCTGGGTCGGCGCCGTGATGAGGCAGTCAGGTCAGAGCCCCGCTGGGCCGGAGTCATGATGGTGCAGTCAGGTGGGAGCCGCGCTGGGGCGCCGCCGTGATGAGGCAGTCAGGTGAGAGCCGCGCTGGGGCGATGCCATGTCGGTGCAGTCAGGTGAGAACCACGCTGGGGCGCCGCCGTGATAAGGCAGTCAGGTCATAGCTGAGTTGGGGGGGGGGGGGGCGCCGTGATGGTGCGGTCAGGTGAGAGCCGCGCTGGGGCGCCGCCGTGATGAGGCAGTCAGGTGAGAGCCGCGCTGGGGCGATGCCACGTCGGTGCAGTCAGGTGAGAACCACGCTGGGGCGCCGCCGTGATGAGGCAGTCAGGTCATAGCTGAGTTGGGGGGGGGGGGGGGGGGGCGCCGTGATGGTATGGTCAGGTGAGAGCCGCGTTGGGGCGGCGCCATGTTGGTGCAGTCAGGTGAGAGCTGAGCTGGGTCGGCGCCATGTTGGTGCAGTCAGGTGAGAGCTGAGCTGGGAAGGCGCCATGTTGGTGCAGTCAGGTGAGAGCTGAGCTGGGACGGCGCCACGTTGGTGCAGTCAGGTGAGAGCTGAGCTAGGGCGGCGCCATGTTGGTGCAGTCAGGTGAGAGCTGAGCTGGGACGGCGCCACGTTGGTGCAGTCAGGTGAGAGCTGAGCTAGGGCGGCGCCATGTTGGTGCAGTTAGGTGAGAGCTGAGCTGGGACGGCGCTGCCGGCCGACAACTGAAAGACGAAGGTTTGCGGCGACGGGGCAGTTGATCCCTGTTTGTGCCTTGTGTTGTCAAAAAGACAATGCATATATCAAGATTATTGGAGATGTTTTCCCGTCACCGCTTGCCCAGCCAGTGGGCGCGTGATGCCGATGTATTCAGGTCAAACGCGCTGGTACACGTGTTTCGGAGTTTGCCTCTTGTATATGCCTGTTCTGGACTCGAGCCGACAGCCCTCCTATCAGTTACAGCACATAACTCTGAAATGCTACCAAATTCGCTTAGCTTGGCTCGGTTGATGTTTATGCTCATGGTTTCGGGGCACCGTTGCCTCAAGCAAGAAGGCGTTGGACATCGGTGTGATGAAATTTTAAAGTCGCCCACGTTATGAGAGGTGACACCGTCGGTCAACAGAAGGGAGCCGAGCAGAATTGGAAGGCTTAGGGGGCATATCAGGCGCATTCTTTCGATGGACTTCATAGGCGCGCTGGTACTCTCTGATGCCAGTTAGCGATGCGCTTCCTCCCCCTCCCCCCCCCCCCCCACCGCGTCCCTTCCGTCACCTGGTGGCGCCATCCTTGCGCTTTAACTGCATGATCAGACATCAAAGCCAGCAGATTAGCATGCCACGCAGTGCGGCGGAGCCCGAGTCGCTGGAGCCGATCCGGGCCGCGCTACCACCCACTTTAGCCCGAGGCTGGCCCCGTGGCGCCGCTCGCGCAGTCGAGGCGGGCCTGATCCCACGGCTGTTGATCGAGCGGCCGGCGGGCCTTATCGCCGCCGTCGCTGCAACTGATCCGAAGACGAGCCGTGAGCCGGCGCGCTCGACCGCGGCTCCCTGGCCGGCCGGCTGCGATGTGGGTCAAGGTTCGAGAGTTCTGCAGTGCTGGCCGGCCCTGCTAGCCGTGGTCAGATGGCCAGCAGTGTGCACGCGCCGGTGGGCCCCGATCGGCGGTGAGCCCGAGCGCCGCCTCTCGACGGCTTGCCGACGGCCGGCACCGCCAGTCACGGCACCCACAGCCATGCACATTCACGCGCCACTGTCGACACGGCTTTTTGCGCTGGGTCACAGTGCGTCAGTACGTGGTCGCAAGTGTGGTTGAAGTTATGGTCTTTTAGGATATATCAAGACAAGTGCTAAGCAAATGTTGTGCATTTGCTGGCTGTAACCAAGTTTGTCAAAATCATAGGCTTATTTTGCTGCAGTTGCTTCGTGAGGAACTAGTCAAGAGTGAAAGATTGGCAGTGGCAGATCCGATGTAATGACGACCTTAGCTCCACATTTTTTAAAATAAATCAGGCTACGCGGACTGTCTCCGTTACCCTCGAAAAAGTGTTCTCAAATACGTTCCAACATGTGTGCGTCCGCATTCTTCACATGTAGACGCTAAAGGGTCAAGAAAACAAATAAGAAAAAACGTTAGCTAAAAAGAATAAAATATTTTAAACGCCCCAAAACTACTGATGTCCGCCACCCATGAGAAATGTTCAAGGTGTCTACTGCGTCTGACGCGGCTGATTGCTGAGACGTCTCTCGCTGCACGCGCGTCGTGTAGCCTAGCGTGTTTGGTTAAGGCATCGCGTTTTAATCAGACACGCTAGGGTCACGGAGTTCAGTTCAGGGAAAAGCTGCCTTAATCGAAGAACTGATCATTTAACGACGCTACTCATTTCATGACCAGTGAGTGTGCTCGGGTCCAAACGTGTCTCAGATAACCCGGCATGCCATTTGAGTCTGTTTTGCAACGTGAGTGACCGGTGAGGCTTCTCGCACGGTGTGCGACGAGGACGATTAGGGATATTTACAAGTGCATATTTAAGGTATTTACAAATGTGGTGTACACAACTGTAGTAAATCATCCAGGCGCAGCTCAAAACCACGCTGATGATACCAGAGACACATTTTTCAAGCGACACCTTGCGGTGGTACAAGTACAGTGGGATATTTAATGTTTACGAATTTCGCTTCGTGCTGATAAAAACTGCATGAACTTAAGACCATTGGTTGCAAATATACTTCAAAATATATTGGAAAGCGTGACGGCGGGGTCTGACTGTGCCGCTCAAGCTTGACATTTTATCACAGCTCAAAGAAGGCTTACACGGTCTGTACCCTCGCCTGTAACAACTTTAGTGGCCAACACGGGTTAGAAGCTTAAGTCAAAGGCGCAGTGGTGCAACGGGTGAAAGTCGGCTTGTGTCCCTTCTTGGCACAGGAATCCAAGTGATGATAAATGTATTGTTGAGCTTCCGGCCTTTCCGAGCCTTCGCAGCCTCAGTGTTTAGGTCAGTGTCACCGGCCTGACACGCGGGCGCCACCGACGTGCCACTCATGTCACCATTCAGACGTGCGTCGCAAACAGTCCCTCCCTGTGTTTGAAGGGTGGGGCGGCCACAGTGATTAACGATGTGGTTGTGTGGCCGCGGAGATATCTGTCTCCCCTCCTAACGAAAGGCATCACTCTATCTAGGTCATAACGTGTCATCGTTCGGGCGGCGATGACAGCAAGCGTCGACGCGTGACCCCGGCGTAGCCCCAGGAACCCTCTGCGGTACTTGCAGCCGCCGTGCCGCTGCGAAGCCGACACTAGACGCGCCTCGGCAGGGTGCTGGGTCCACCTGCGCAGCGCGGGGCCCTCCCAGCGCCGTCAGCGGAGCACCTGCGGCGCACGTGCTGGGGCGCGCAGGCTGTGTGTTCGACGTCTGCCGCGCCGTTCCGCGCGTCAGGCTGGGCTGTACGCCGCCGGCACCTCCCGCTGCCCGGTGTGCCGGCCGTGTGGTGATGGTCCCCAGCAGCCGACCTGACTCACCGCTCTCCCGAGATGGCGCGCTGGCAACCACAACAGGGGCATCACGGAACGGGACGGGCCGCCGACGAGCCGCCCGTTGTTTGGGGGGCCCGGCTGTTGACGCGGTTTCTAAATTACACCGTTGGCGAAAGCCGCATGGAGCAGCGCGAGGCACAGTTCGCGGAACGTGACGGTCGATAGGCTCAGGGCGGGGCTTCCTCGTCATGCGTGTTTTCAAGCCTCGCCACCTTGTTGGCAAATGACGTACTGTTAGTGCAGCTGTGCCGGGTAAGAGGCCCATGAGCGTTGACCTGCGGGCCAAACAGCTGGCAAATTTCAAGTCCCGGAAGTGGTCAGCGTCAGGGTGATTGGGCGAATCCTTACTTGATTATTTATTCAGCGGTGAACAGATGAACAAAGTCGTAGTTCGCAAACATTTCCAGCTGCTAGTGCGGCGCTGCAGCGGCGGTTCCTCGAATGCCACCGATTACGACAAAACATCACCGAACGGGACAACCATGCGAGCGCTGATGCAGGCCAACGGCATTGCTGCCCATTTCTTCACTCCCTCAGTCCTGAAGCCTGTCACGCTGCCGGAGTCGGTGCGGTGTTCATCGGCGCCCCGTGTGCTGTTCGCCTGCTGTCCTAACCGCTGTCTAGCCACTGTGTTCGGGAGTGTGTTAAGTCTATGCCGAGTCCCTGTTGGCGGGAGCCGTGGTGCAGCAATTACCATCCGGCATCTGTCGGGCCGCCGTTCCTGACAGTCTCAAGTCTACCCTTCCCCTCCCCTTTCTGGGGGTTTCGCGATCACGTGATCGCACTCGGCGCTCCGTCCCGGCTGCTGTATTGACGTTGACAGTCTTTAAGTCTAAAGAGTCTTACTCAGCCGCTCTCCGCAGGGATCGTGATCACGTGCGCCATGTTTGGCGCCCTGTTCCGGCCGCTGGAACCCGTGCGCACGCCGCACACAGTGGAGGCCAGCTCCGTGCCTGGCACGCCACTCATGATCCGCATCAAGCGCGCGCGGGACAAGCTGATGGAGGACGTCACGCCGTTCGGCTCCATGTACTCCATCGAGGGGCACATGTCGACCCACCACTCGGCCGCCAACTTCAAGTAGGTCACGATTTGTTCTTGAACGGTCGTGCTGCCGGCTGTGCTGTGCTGGCACGCATTGTTGCGCATTGGTATAGTTATTTCAGGGCGACATTGTCATCGGGTATCACATACGGATGTGCTAAGCTGCTGGTCTTGCGCTGCGTTGTCTTTTTGCTCGTGACCTCTTCTGCTTAAAGGGAAACAAATGTCCAACTACGAGGCGCGAGTATGAGTACGAGACAATGAGGAGGACCCCTAAAACGAAACTGTCATCTGTGCGCCTACAACCCTCTGTCAATGTCATCTATACAACCCCAGCCGAGTTGCGCGCCTGTCCACAAGCGGAGTGCTCCTCCTGCAGACCTCCGGTGCCGGCCGAGGCGCGAGCGAACGGTGCGCCGCTACCAGGCGTGCGCAGCGAGCACCGCCTGCAGCGACGCAGCAGCGAGCGCGACGCGCACCCGGCCGCCGGGCAGCACCGCAAGTCGCTGCCGGCCATCAACTACGCCCGACTGCTGCTGGAGCGGCGCGACAGCCAGCCGGCGGCGCGCGCGCCGGCAGTGCCGCGCGTCAGCCGCCGCTCCTCGGACAGCGGCTACACGGAGTCCGAGGAGCACGTGGCGGCCGGCCCGCTGCTCGAGGGCCCGCCGGCGCCGGCGGAGGAGGCCGCCGCGCCGCCCGCCACCGACGGCAACAGGAACGAGCTGGCGCCGCCGCCGGCCGGCTCCGGCCTGCTCAAAGTGCCGGGCGCGTCACACCTGCGCCTGCCGGAGCCGCGCCGCAAGTTCTCCATTCAGGACGCCGCGAGACCAATGTACAGGGAGGACATCTTCTACAGTGGAAGCGTCTACAAGCTCAAGACGAGCGTGGTACGTACAGGATGCCCCACATGGATTTTTTACGCGTGTTCTTTTTCCGCGAGGTTGTCGCTCTGCAGGGCGTGTGGGATGTTTCTGGACGAGTGTTGTCGCAGTATGCTCCGTTTTCACACCTGAATGGATTGCCGATATCAGTATTTCACTCCCCTTGCGATGCCTACCTCACATCACCTTATTACTTTAAAATGAGGTCTCTGAACGTAATGCGTCAGATATTATCACGAACTTACGGCACGCTAAAAGAACTACTTTGCCTTTGAGAGCAGTAAAAAGGATCTCATATATGAAAACTATGCAAAGTTTCTCAAATACTATTGCCATTGGTTTTTATCAAAAATGGCTGAAAATATTACGATTTGATGAATGGGCTCTACACCACTGCGTTACGTACAACGTGCAACATTTTCTTTAACAAAGTTTCGCTCACAAATCAGCTAACCAAATCACACTCACCGGCGTTCACGGGCTGCTTACTCTGACCAGTCGCAGTGGGATCACGGGCTTCAATTTTCAATCATACAGTAACGTACGTCACAACAATCAGCCAATAAAAAGTGTCCTCGCTCCTGTCGCGTCACAGTTGATGATGCCACTTAAAATGCACCCCGAACGAACTATGCCAAGAATGATTGCTCTCCAAGCTCAGGAAATGAGCATGTTGGAACTTAACACGCGCCCGGGTGGCCGCCTGGATACTCTTTGCTCGGGTGTGGGGGTCATTTTGATCCTGCTGAGATCTCAGGAACTAAGAAAGCTAGAAACACCAAATTTACGGGGTGTGTTGGCCTGTACCTGAATTCACTTAGATCAAGATTCCTAGCTCATGACCTTCGGTTCGAGTAAGGTCAAACAAGGTCAATTTCCAGGCTGGTCTCCGAAGTGCCCTCAGAACTTAAATACCTGTTGTAAGCAAAAGGGCACGTGATCATTTAAGGTCAGTGACCTTGTTTGGCCTTTCGATTATCAATGTGACCAAAATCATACCGGACTACTTTGAGTTTTGCACTTAAATAAGCGACAAAGATTACGCTAGGCAGTATGTTCCAAAAAACAAAATGTTGACCTGGGTCATTTCAGGTCAGTGACTTATTTTGACCACTGAGAAGTGGATAGAAGATGCATAATGTGGTTCCTGATATAAATGAGTTCGAAGGGACCACCAGAAACTAACCCATCCAGCAAGCCATAGAGTACCAAAACAGATTAGCTTTAACCTTGATTATACCTTTAAAACTGACCCAAGGTCAATAGAATATGATCAGTTAATTGTTGTGTTGCCTACGAAAGTATCTCAGAGACGTATGGTCCCGTCTAACACTCCGTTGTTGCATCAGGTTGAACGATTCCCTAGAAATTGACTTCGCAGAGAATATGGCCTGACTTTGACCTGTCATAGGTCAGCGACCTTACGAGGTACAGCTAAATTGGCAATGTCAAACGATTCGCTATCCAACTTCTACGGCTATGCAAAAGTTGACGTGGCTGCGCGGCACCGTTCAAAAACGATTTTCGAAAAATCTTCAGGTGGTCAATTTGACCCCCACCCCCACCCCACTCCACTCGAGCGCGTGCTAACGAAGACGCCAATTTGTAGATTTCTCTGGTTTCAACAATCTGCCGAACTCGGCTAAACACACAAAGTCCGTGGCTAAGTAACTCGTCACCGTGTGCACACTCGCCGACACCTTCCCACTGTCGCGTGCACAGGAGAGCTTGGAGAAGTACCACGCGTCGGTGACCCACCTGCCATCGTGGGAGCCGGCCGACGAGACGGAGGCCGAGCGCCGTGCCGCCGCCTACTGCTTCTGCTGCTCGCGCGCCTGCACCGACGTGCTGGCCACCATGCTGGACTTCTCGCTGCTCAAGAGCCCCACCTTCCTTATACTGAGTCTGTCTGGCTTCATGGCGCTGATGGGGCTGTTCGTGCCCTTCATGTACCTGGTCGGTGAGTGCACTCGCGCTGGGTCGGGCTCGAAGGTCTGCGGCGGGGCTGGAATCAATGCCGAGACTACTGCTCGAAGCACACGACACCAATTTTGAGCTTATATTTAGATGTTTACTTAGTTGCATATTGTTTATTTAGGTGTGGTAACTTGATGGAGATTAACTTGATCCCGTGTGCGCCGCGAGAGGCGTGCGTCAGGGCTGGCGCCGGTCGTGTAATAGTCTCGTAATCGTAATCTGGCGGATGGCTGCGATGTGCAGGGAGGAGGGGAACAGGAACGAAGCGTTAAATGAAAAAGATCGAAGTAATATGATGTGCATATATGCAACGGTGTAATGAGTGCACTTAAAAAGTCGTACCATTGAGAGCATTTTAAGCGTGCACGATTTGCCGGCGGAAAAATTGCCAGCAATGTGCGGCCGAAGGCTGCAGAACATCTAACATTTGCACAGCAAAGTATTCCAGTATTCCCGGGCATTTCAAAACATCGCGTGAATAATACCTCCCGTGCTCCGCCATCTGCGGGCTTCGCGTGACGGTACGGGAATTCCAGCTCTGAGGAGCACTAGACAGTTAGGTGTTGACCTTGTTATGTCATAAGCGGAACGTGGGCACTGTAAGCCGACCGGGTGCGTAGTGGAATTTTCCGTTCCACATACCGATATTGACAGCGCATGGTGCTTTGCGATGTTCACTTTTGCGAAATACGCTTTTACGCATTAATTTTGGAATGCGCACATGGGGCACGCTTGAAACGTGAGGCACAGTTGAGCATTATTCGAAACTTGAGGCAAAGTTCAACATTACACGGACGGCAGCTAATACGAATGCATATGGTAAAAGCCTTTCAAATGTTATGGCACCCCGAAATTCGGGTAAGCTGCCAGTGTATCCACGTGATGGCGGGTGCACTACCGCTCCGTAAACACCATGACCAGACCGTGTTTTGCCTTGATGAGAAACATGGTAACAAGAATGTGGTTGTGGCCAGTGGTGTGAGGTTCCGTGTTTATTTTCCTTCAAATGGGCCACTCGCAAACATCTTTGCGATGTCGCAGACGACAGCGATCGATCACGGAGTTAGCATAACAGCCGGCATGTTAAAAGAACCAAAAAAGTGCACCTAAACAGTCATTTGTAGCGGAATTCACATCTCCCCCACCTGCTTTTAAGTCGGCAAAAACTTAATCAAAAGTTCATCGGTGTCACGTTTTTGCATTCCTCCACGTGCACGTCAGCAGTAGCAGCCAGCTGACTCGGCCAGCAGCTGACTGGCCGGGCGGTGACGTGGCGCGTTTGCCGCAGACCGCGCCATCCTGCTGGGCATCGACCAGAGCTCGGCCACGTTCATCATCTCACTGATCGGCATCATGAACACGGTGGGCCGCGTGGTGTGCGGCTGGATCAGCGATCACCCGCGTGTCGACGCTCTGGTCGTCAACAACGGCGCTATCATCCTGGCCGGCGTGGCCAGCGTGCTTTCCCCCTCCTTCCAGTCGTACGAGATGCTGATGGCGTACGGCATTGTATTCGGACTGGCGATAGGTGAGCGGCATGTTTTTCCTCTGCGGGTGAGCTGAATTGCTGACGCGTTTGGGGGTTTTTACCATTCAATATGTGAGTAATTTCAACTGTAAATTTGGGTCATTTTGAAGCAATTAAACCATCCTAAAGATGCTGTATGATTCAAGTTTCGTGGAGCGAACCGCCGTTATCGTTTTTCTTTCAGTTTTCAAAACAGGCGAGTACCAAATAGCTGAACTATGAGCAGCGGTTCTCTTCCGGTCCATTGGCTCGACGCATGTGCTGACAGCACCGCTCTTGACCGCAGCCTGCTTCGCGTCCTCTCCGCTCCATCCTGGTGGTGGAGATGCTGGGTCTGCACAGGCTGAACAACGCCTTCGGTCTGATGCTGCTCTTCCAGGGCATTGCTGCCACCGTCGGCGGCCCCATAGCAGGTGAGCCGGCCGCAAGCAGAAGACCAGACGTCCTCGCCCGCTGCGTGCTCCAGTTCATGTCGCGAAGCCCGCGGGCGGCATGAAAGCACGCAACCCTGCGCAAAAACATTTGATGAATATCTCCTACATTGTCAGCTATCTGGCGGTGCAAGCCGGTGACAGTGAGCAATCTGTGATGTGTAACGGGCACTGGGCGTGGACCATCAGCCGCCGAGAATTCGTTGATATCTCGGTGGCGTGGATGGCGCGTCTGCCAGCCCCAGTACGTGACACCTCCTTCTGGCGCAGGGAGCCTGTTCGACACGACGCAGAGTTACGACGCCACCTTCTACATCGCGGGTTCGCTCTTCCTGGCGGCCGGCATCATCAGCCTTCCGCTGAACCGCGTCAAGCACTGGGAGGAGCAGCGCACCGGCCAGGGCATGCGCGACCCGTACATGCCCAACGGGCACGTTTAGGACCGCCCCTCCCCACTCACGCACCGGCGCGCCGTCGACTGCGCGGAGAGGCCCCTCACGCGGCTGGCACGCGGTGGTGGCACGAGCCGCAGCGGGGACGGACTCAGCGGCCAGGCGTGTTCCGCGAGCTGTGCGTCCGAAGTGAGCGCCGCCGGAGCCGCGACAGGCCCGGGCGGGGAGCGGGCTGGGCGGCCGGTGCCGAACCGATGGCTGTGTGTTGGCCGTCCTGGACGGGCGGCGTTTGGGGAGGGCAGAGGGCGTGCGGGTCCGCTGCTCGTCCGGGCCCAGCGACGAGTGCTTGAGCGGGCTGGCAGGCGGCCGGAATGAGTCGGAAGGGGCTCAGGCCCGGCCGTTCGGAAGACAGACCGATCCTGGAGTGTTTGGACCTGCTCTTGGTGACTGGGCCATGTGTCCGCAGGTGTAGCGGGCGCAGTCGTAGGTCGATGATATTATCTTCTCACCGGATTGGTGCGGATAGGAATCCAACCCCGTGCAGTGTGTTGTCCGTCACCGCATTTTGCATTCGTGTATCGTAGCTTATCAACCCGAGGGGAGGTGGGCTTTATCTGCTGGTCTGTCAGTCAGTGGATAGTTACTTGAGTGCGCTTCGGTATACGTGTGATGACAGCGAACAGCTGTCTATCAAGCTTCGGGCGGTGCGTGTCGCTGGTACCCCAACGAAGATACTTTGCTGTTAGTGACGATATTATTAGTTGTCTTGTTGTCTCTGCAATCATGTGAGTAGGCGGTTTGCTTGTTCTGCTCAACTAGGACACATATGCGAGCCTTTATCAAACCCGGGACGTTTAAATTTGTCCCAAACGTCATCGAGGCAAATGCATTTCGCTGAGTGCGTCTCACCTTAAACGTACGCACCTTGGCTGCATACGGGCCTACGAGTTTGGTCAAGTTTGGAAGTCGCAGCATGAAGCTCAGTCTTACACGCCGCGTAATTTCGCGGACGAGTCGTGTAATGCCGCGAAATTTCGCGGACGAGTCGTGTAATGCCGCGAAATTTCACGGACGAGGCATGGAGACTGTGACAGAATACGGGTTCTTGCAGCCATTGCACTCGCTGGCCGGATGGCTGTCCGTACTTGCTTGTAGTCCTGTGGCAGCGCCCTATGTGTCGGTGTCACGGCGTGTCAGAACCGCGTGCAACGCACGAAGAGTTGACGTGTCCCAACTTTGACTTTGGTTCGCAGCCAAGTCTGGAATGTGTGCGTGGGGGGGGGGGGGGTATTCAGTTGTGGCCAGAAATCGTCATATCTGATGATTTGTATCCAGTATCCCATGATGGGCCTTGTGTAGGAGCTGGCTTCATACCTTGTGGACGACAGGTAAAGAGGAGAGCTTGGCACGGAGCGCCTTATACCCTGGGGAATAACTGAACTGAAAGTTTCGGGCTTGCTATCGCCATTGTCGCCCAAAAGATGTATTGAGTCGAGCACAGACACAATTAGTGCAAATTACTGTTTAAGAGAGGCTCCACGCACATATCCGACCCTCATCGCCCGGCTCTCTTCTGATCATTACATCAGAAGATGATCTTCCGTAAGCAGGAGTGGTTGCATGACTTGATGTGTGAAGTCGAAAGATGCTTACGACTTTAAAGCAACATACCCGATGTGAGCGTAACCCAAGAAGCGCGAGCATCATCTCTCAAGTTTTAACGCCCATTTGCGTTCCAGTTAAATATATTTGACTTGCACAGTTCGGAGGCGGAGTCGGAAACGTTCGAGAAACCTCATTTGGAGCTTCTAACTTATTTGCTACCCATTGCGTCGCGGAGATGTTCCATAATAGGGATGGCAATGCGCCTGTGCTGAAGGGGGGGTGTGGTGAGAGCGTGCCTGCACTGCTGGCTAAGCGAGGGTTTGCGTACTATAAGCTGAGATTGTACGTGTCTATCGCAATACATGTATATTTACGTCGAGATCAGTGTTTACATGAGTTGGACAAATGCGGATCACGTTCATTGTTGATGGCTATATGCGCGTGTGTGTAATACATCCACCAACGATTGTTTCAAACGAACATTTAACGCGGCTGCACAACTGCAAGCGCACCACAAACATTGCCGCGGCCGATGTATCTGCGAGTATGTTCAACATGCAAGGCCTGCATTCGTGATGCCATACAGTAAGCGCAGCATTCCCTTCAGTGTTGATAAGCGTTCATTTCGGGTTGTGTCTCCTCGCTCAGTCTTTTTGGGTGTGCACAGATGTACCTTTCCTAAAGATTTAGCCCGAACTTTTTGGATGGATTTCTGGGATCAGACCCCACCCTAAGCAAAACTCGTTGCGTGAGCCCTGACCCCCACCATCTGATGGTCAAATTACAGTTCAAGTGCATGATTTGGAGGCAAAAGTTTGAAGCGCTGCTATTCTCGGCTCGGTTCGTCCTGTTCTTTGACATCAGCTGACCTTTAACGCGGCTGCCGCCACCGGCCGCAGGCCGTCCCAGTCCAGGATTACTTGACAAAAGTCAGGGAATAACCGTTTTATTATTGGCTTTTTGAGATTTAGCTTGAGCCTATTTGAAGAGGTGGATCTTTGGAGCGAGAGTGCATTTCGCCAAGAAACGAGGTTCCCCACGGATTTGGTCCACTTTTTCTCAAAGTTTGGGGACTGGGGCCAAAGTTGGGCGAGTTGGAGCCCACCCAACTGAATAGGGAGTCTACACCCCGTCCTGAAACGCTAAAACCAGTCACCATTGAGTAATGGTCACCTTACGGGACAAGCAACAAGCCCATTTTCATTTCTTGGCTTTGCTTTAATGTGGGGACCTAACGAACGTTTCGGGACGTTACCCATGGGTGTCGATCTCTCAAAATTATTTGGGGAGGCAAAGTCGTGGAAGCAGCGGAAAGGGAACATATACGACAAAGCTGTCGAACTTTATCCACCTCATACGTGTGCGCAAGCAGGCACACAAGCACATGAATATATATATATATATATATATATATATATATATATATATATATATATATATATATATATATGTCAACATTCATGGCATGTTTTGAATGCTAAAATGTGCTTATCTACAGCAATCACATATGAAAGCCGCAGTTTGCATCAGCTTTTTATAAACACACCACTTTTGTGTACAGATGGGTGCAATCGCAAGGTCTTTTGCATGCTGAAATATGAAATATGCGCATAATACGTCATTGTGTACTTAGGTGAGTCCTTAACTACTTATCTATGTAGTTACAAGAATGAACCGTCCAAAATGTATGTGTCGATCGCAAATATTTTACGCGCACGTTCTCGAGCAATTGAATTTTAATCAGCAAACATAAAAATAATGTATTTCACTTAATGTAACACAAAGTACAAGTGCTCCTCCACGTATATTTTTAAAATAGCGATTCTTAACCATTCCGTGGATGCGCTTCTGCAAAATCGTTTATGTTTGGAACGACTTTTCCCCGTTCGTTTCAACGAGCACTGATTGCGGGCCCGCTGTATTCCTGAGGTGCACTGCTACAAGCTGCTGTGCCTCTGAACTCAAAGCGACCCTCCCGATCTAGCTGCAGTTCGAACGTATGTGGAACGAAACGCTGGCCATGTCATGCCATGCGCAATCCAGGTTGATTGCAACAGCGTCTACTGCTTGAGCTGGCTCTGCAATGATCATGAGGTCATTATGTTGTATGCATACTCGGTTCTCAATACAGCTTGAAACAGTGTCTCCTAGACGTACAACTGGCTCGCAATGCATGCTTGATGAAATGAACGGGGAAAGATTGTCCTTTTGTTTTATATTAACTAAAATGCATGAGAGAGAGAGAGAGAGAGAGAGAGAGAGAGAGAGAGAGAGAGAGAGAGAGAGAGAGAGAGAGAGAGAGAGAGAGAGAGAGAGGAGAGAGAGAGAGAGAGAGAGAGAGAGAGAGAGAGAGAGAGAGAGAGAGAGAGAGAGAGAGAGAGAGAGAGAGAGAGAGAGAGAGAGAGAGAGAGAGAGAGAGAGAGAGAGAGAGAGAGAGAGAGAGAGAGAGAGAGAGAGAGAGAGAGAGAGAGAGAGAGAGAGAGAGAGAGAGAGAGAGAGAGAGAGAGAGAGAGAGAGAGAGAGAGAGAGAGAGAGAGAGAGAGAGAGAGAGAGAGAGAGAGAGAGAGAGAGAGAGAGAGAGAGAGAGAGAGAGAGAGAGAGAGAGAGAGAGAGAGAGAGAGAGAGAGAGAGAGAGAGAGAGAGAGAGAGAGAGAGAGAGAGAGAGAGAGAGAGAGAGAGAGAGAGAGAGAGAGAGAGAGAGAGAGAGAGAGAGAGAGAGAGAGAGAGAGAGAGAGAGAGAGAGAGAGAGAGAGAGAGAGAGAGAGAGAGAGAGAGAGAGAGAGAGAGAGAGAGAGAGAGAGAGAGAGAGAGAGAGAGAGAGAGAGCAACTGCACCCCCTCAGTTTCAGAAAACAAGTGCGTTTATGTGAAGGTGATGAAAACTGTCAGGCTTTCATATGTTACTACTGCGGCTACGCACTTGAGCTGAAAAATTTATAGTAAGTGTATATACACACACACACACACACACACACACACATATATATATATATATATATATATATATATATATATATATATATATATATATACCAGAAACAGCCCTGACAAACCCGACAAGCTTCAATGCACCAAAGTGAAGTATTAATCAAAATGTCGAAGGCCGCAAAATTCGTTCCATACACTATATTAGTATGAAACGACACTCTGACGACGCCTGACAATACACTTACGTGATAGGGCGTCCCTGGGGCACATGCCACCCCAGCATGACGGGGCGTTAACTCAACAACTGACCGACAACACTGAAATTCTTCAGACGGGCAACGACAGAAGACGCCTTCAAATGAGGGAGAGCTTATTTATTAGCAAACTCTCCGCGGTTCTAAACAAATCAATTCTCGCACAACCCTTAAGTTATTAGGTGGTGGGCGGTATGCTGAAGCTGTGATTTTGTGGCAATATATACATATATATATATATATATATATATATATATATATATATATATATATATAATGCAAAGTCAGAAACCAGACCATAAGTGGACTTTATCCGAAAGGTTGTTCGTACCTGTCCACCTATGTTGCGACTTCCAAGACTCTGGCCCCCCAATTATTCTGAGAAATCGACAGCCATGAATTCAAACTTGCAGAATGTACTCTAAAAAAATGCTACAGCATACCCTCTACGACGGCGGAGCTCTGAAAATTTGACGAGCTCCGTCAGCCACAATTAATCGAAACAGACTTGGGTTGGGTCTTCTCAAAAGAATGCAAATCGGTACCAATGTCGTCAAGCTTCTACGCCCTCTTCATCGAGTATTCTCGTCAAACACGGTCAAAGGGTCCTTTGCGCCGATCGGGGACCTCTTGAGTCGGTATAGGCTTATATGTCGGTCAGGCATCATCTGTACCGCACAGTCCGTGCCGTGTCGGTATGGACCCACTTCCAAATCAGCTATAACGCCGGGGTCAGTAATTTACACCGGTCGGGAGCCTCGTATCTGTCTGGAACCCACAGCGCCTAACAGAGGGTCCTGTGGTTGCACGGGCCCCAAGCCGACCAGTGGAAGCATTCGATGAGGCCCGGGGAGGGGCCCAGGCGGCACATCGGAGCCAGCGATCAAAGGCCCAGTCGGAGGGCATAAGGACCCGAAGGACCGGCTGTAGGTCACATAAAGAAGGAGTCCGTAGGGAGAGGGACCTAAAATACCAGTCAGAGGCCCCCTCGCGCCGTTTCAGGAGCCCCTGAGACTGTGTGGGTGTCTAAGTCGGTCAGAGAGCACGACCTCCGAACAGTCGGCTCCATGCCCGCTTGAGCCCTTGAGACCCATTTTCTAAGCAGAACCGAGACCGGGGTCCGCGATTTGCAATATTCGGGGTCTCTTGCCGGGTAAGGGGCTCCTATGTCGGTTAGAGGCCACAGTGTCTAACAGGGGTCCTGTGTCGGCAAGTGGCCCCGAGGCGGAGCGATGATCGAGGGGGTGCGAAGTGGGGCCGAGTGGTCTTCCGATACCAAAGATCAAGGGCTCAATGGGATAGCTGAAGGGTCCGAAGGGCTGGCTGCAGGTCATATTAAAGACCCCCGCCCACAGGGTCGTGATCTCAAATGCCAGGGAGATGGTCTCTTGCACCGATAGGGTCCCTTGAGACAGCATTCCTCTATTTCGGCCAGAGATCACGAGCAACGAAAAGTCGGCTCCGTGCTGGCCTGAGGTGTGGGGGCCAATTTCCGAAGCAGGGACAAGGCCAGGTCGCGATTTACATCGGTCGGACTCCTGTATGGTTCAGGAGCCAACAGCGCCTAGCAGTGCCTAACAGTGTCATGCTGTGTCAACAAGGGACCTCGAATCGGTCAGGGGAAGATTTTTCAACAGGGACGGGGACGGGAGCCCGAATAAGAGAGGGTATTTGGCGTTGGTCGGGGCCCTCTGACAATTGAAGGAGACATGAGAACTTATGATGTTTGTTCAAAATGAGGCAACAAAAGAGTCCTGTGCCAGTCAGGGCCCCAGTACCTAACGGTGGGCCCTCCAACCCTATTGTGGTGACGGAGTCCTCCGACACAGGACCCCTGTTAGACACTGTGGCCTCTAACCTCAAGCCCTCCCCCCGGTGCTCGCGCTTCCCACCTAAGTGAGGGGCTGCCGGCACCATATAGCCCCCGCAGCAAGTGCGTCATAAAGCCCCAATGGCACGCCCGTGATGTCGGGGAACAAGGATAGCGATGGATTGGGATGCAGCTTTCGTCAAGGCTCCGGCTGCGCCCCTGGCATAACGTATGGAATATGGTATCTTGGCGCATTTTACGCCCACATTCCATTCTTTTGGTCAGTGTTTGAGGTACAGTAGAAAAGAAAAACTTAAGGGGTGAACGTGGTGCATACACGACGGTCCCTGCGCAGTTCTGTCAGAATTCGTGTGCGGCCTGTTCCTACACACCTCTACGCTGTCTAGCAGTTGTTTATGTGTACAATTGTTTAGTATCAGACCACGAACTTCCATTCACAACTGTCTTTGTGGGAGCGGGAAGGGATTTAAGCAACTGAAGATGGCCGCTTTTCAGTTGCAGGTAATTAGGCATTGATAAGGTCCCATGTTTCCTGTGGAGCTGCTGGACTCCGTCACCACGGTTCGCTAACCCAAGTTATCGCTAACTGGTAAACAAACAAATGATAACAACATATACCTATAATGGTGTCACTGATGCAACAATATCAGCGCATGTGTACTTTTGGTTTTGATGCCCCAAGCTTGATGTATGGTTGAGGCTGCTATCAATTTCTGCACTTGGGTGAGTCAGTGTCTTAAACATGATACTACCATAGTCACAATCTGGAGCAATAGTATGTACAAGTTTGATTTTGCATAACTTGTTTTCACATTCAGGATGATTTAGCTTGAAGCATGGATTACAGGAGATAAATTGTTTGCTGACTGGAGAGGAGGTCTGTGGGCATGACGAAAAATGCCTCAAATTGCACCATGGTTATTTTTCAACAGGAATGTGCCTGCAGCCTCCAAAAGATTTTTAGATATGTTCCCAAAATCTCATAAGTATGGAAGCCCTTGGAATCTGGGATCTACCTTTAAGATCCAGGCATATGTCAGGCTCCCAAACAGTCCCATTCACAATCCATCATGCTGTTGATCATTTATGTGAGACTCGTCAGTTGAAGTTTTTCTTAGGAGAGGTCCTGCAACATGTCCTTAAATGGCAAGCATTAGGTTGAGCCATGAGACTTCAAGCTATAGTAAATGGCATAGGTGCATGAAAGTCCAGGATAATAATGCATCTTGAGAATGGCATAATTTTAATGGTGGACATAAGCAGATGCACCACTGCCTTTCATGCTTATCAACTAACTGCTAGGGCCAGGATATGCTTTCTGTGTGCCCCTAGCTGGCTCATAAGCTGTCAAGTGGCACACAATTGAAAGTTGTTGGTTGTGCGGTATGCACAGTTACCTACTTGTTTTGGTAGATGCTCACTTGTAATTGTGAATGTGGACCCATAGCAGCAGTCATAAAACAAATGCAACCAATATTTAGTATCTGGCAAGTAGAAACCATAACCACTTTTTAAACTCTAAGCAAAACTAAAGTAAGAGATAGTAGCTACCAACTGGCATTAGAAATGAGGTAGCTGCTCAAATTTGGAATTTATTGTATGAATGCTGGCCCAGCCATCCAAGCTACCTATAATCACTTATGGACATTATTTTGAATGCTTTAGATTTATTTTTAATTTGATAACTAACTTCTGAATGTTTTTATGTTACCAGGGGTTTTCTCAGTGGTGCTGCCAGAGCCTTGGCAGGGGGAGGGGGCACAAGGTTCTCAATAGGGCTCCTGGTGGTAAAAGTCCCCCCTGGCAAAAAATCTTTGGATATGGCCACCTGGTAATCAGGGGCAGGTTTTTATCTTTAACTCATTTTTACATTCTATATTTGGAACAGAAGCCAGAAGCTACCATAACAGTTCAGTCTTCTATAAACATTTTTAACAAAGGTTATCCTCACATACATGGTGCTCACCTCTTTGTGTTGCTTGCAGTGGCCAGTGCTGTTCAGTTTTACCAAGGCTGCAACTCCGACCATTGCTGTTGGCCAAGATTGTGAGCTTGCAGGTTCAAACTTTTTGATGCAATGTGTTTCACTATCTGATTTTGGAAAAGAATTAATCTTTGCAAGCAAAGATAGATCAGCCTTTTTCATTTTTGGACTCATTTTAACCCACTCTGTTCAATATTGATGAGGACCCTAATGTTTCCTGAGGGCAAGGGAATGTTGAGTAGAATGCTAGAGGGCACAGTATCATTCCCAGGGGAAGGCTTAAGAGCCATTTCATTCCAGCACAGAGTGTCTTCTAGCTATCATTCTGGCGACACGAGGGTGGGGTCACTGGTCGATCTGGATGGCCTTAGAGGGAAACATCATATCACATTACCCGCCCCCCCCCCTCCGCCCCCTCCTGTTGCGGAACGCCTTCCGACCAGTGCAACTGGCTCGGGATCAACGCAGGAACCCTTATGAACGCAACAAGAGCCCTGATCACCACGGTTGGTCCAATAATTGGCACACAGACCCCAGTTCAGCCTAATGGCTCCTTGGCTGGAATTGGGTTGGAGGGTCCACTGTTCGGTACTGGGAGTCCGGACTGAGACTAGGACACTTGATTGCCTGATTGTCAAGTCTTATCATAAGTTCTCATGCTTTTTTCATCGCCAGAGGGCCCCGACCAGCGCAAGAGGGCCTGTGGTATTCAGGGTCCTGTCCCCTTTCATGTAAAGCAGATATTCTCCCGGCCGACTCGAGGCCCATTCTTGACACAGGACATCCTGTTGGGTATTGTGAACTCCCGATCGACGCAGAAGCTCGGAATTTTTGCAGGGCCTCCGACCAATGCAACTCGCGGGCCCGGCCTTGTTTCTGCTTTGCAAATGGGCCCCCCAAGGCTCAGACCGACATGGAGCTGACTTTTCGGCGTTGGTGATCTCTGGGCGAAACAGAGAAATGCTGTGTCTCAGGAGTCTCTAATTGGTGCAAGAGACTCTGTTACTGGTATCTAAGATCAAGGTTCTATGGGGGGGGGGGGGGGATCCTTAATGTGATCTGCAGCCAGCCCTTTGGGTCCTTTACCCTTTCCATAGAGGTCCCTGATCTTTTGTCTCATGAGACCTTTCGGACCCTTCTTCGGGCCCCCTCAAACACGGCCCCTGGCCAGCTCAAGGCTACTTGCCAACACAGAACTCCCTGTTAGGCACGATAGGCCCCTGACCAACACAGGCCGTTAAATAGCCATGACACAGGCGTCCCTAATTGTGTCAGGGACCCAGAGCATTGCAAATCACGCTCCCCCGCCCTGCTTCTGATTGGAAAATGGGCTCTCAGTGTTCAGACCAACACGGAGCTTACTGCTCGGTGTTGGTTGTCTCTGGCAGACGTTAAGGCTTTTATCAACGCAGGGGCCCCCCAATCGGCGTGAAGGGCCCTCTCGTTGGGATTACAGTGCCCTGCCCTGTGGGTCGGGTCTGTGAATGTGACCCACGAATCGGCGACCGGCCGGCCCCGACCGTGATCGTCGGTCCCGGTGGATCTTGCGAGCTCTCTTCGGGCCTCCACGAACACTGCTTCTGGCCGACTCGGGGTCTCTTGCCAACGCAGTGCCCCCTTTTAGACACTGTGAGCCCCTAACAGACGCGGGTGACCCCGGCCAATATAAATTGCGGTTCTCGACTTTGTCAGCTGCGTGAGAAATGGGTCCTCAAGCCCATTTCGACTCGGAGCCGGCTGTGCGGTACTGGCGGTATCTGACTGATATATAGGCCCGTATCGACTTGGGGGTCCCCCAGTTGGCGCAGAGGGCCCTCAGGTTGGCATTGGAGTGCCCTGCCCTGAGGGCCGGGTCCGTGGATGCGACCTCTGACCGGCTTTTCGGGGGATTCGGGCCTCAAATCGGGCCCTTAGTCGCCCGTCATGAGGTTCGGGCCCCTTGGAGCTGAGGGGGGGGGGGGGGACACGTGTTCCCTTTGCCTCTACTGCCTGCGCCACTTGATTGCCTTTTATTTCTCATTGGTGGTCTGTGGTGAGGTGTATATTTGGCTGAAACCATCACATTCACATGTGATATGTCCTTATCCAAAACGGAATTATGTGAGTGAAATCGCCTCGGTGCTTATCCCACGCTCGTCACCCTCAAACGCCAGCAGCGTCCCCAGACACGTGACGTCTTCGACGACACCGGTCACCACCCGTGCAACGGCAGGGGGCCGGCCAGCCCGTGGACGCTCAGTTCGCAGGAATTTGTCTTAGTCAGTGATTCTGCATGCATGAGAGGTGAAGTGGAGAGATGTTGTGGTTGTCCTTGCCTGGAACTAGCGCGGTGCCAGCCTGACCCGAACGGTGACTCGACACACGGCACGTTCTGTGTTTGTAGAGAGCGGTCTGGTCTGCTGCGCCCGTCATCTGCTGGGCTGGTGTGTTCGCTGTTGCCATGCGAGCGCGCTGACGCAACGGCGGTGGCTTTGTAGGCGGACGTTCGCGACGATGAGGAGCAGCAGCTCAAGTTCCAGGAGTGTCTGGATCTGCTGCTGGCCGCCGGGTACTTCCGGGCCCGCATCCGCGGCCTCAGCGCCTTCGACAAGCTCGTAGGCGGCATGGTCTGGTGCATCGAGATGTGCAGCATGGACGTGAACGTCGACCTCTTCTACAAGGACGAGCTCAGCATCGGCCAGAAAATGTGAGCAGCTGCGAGAGGGCACAGTGGAGGGGTATCGCCTCAGGGCGACGGATGTGAAGCGGCGTTAGCGGCCACTTGGCGTAGCGTACTGTCAAATACGAGACGACAAATGATGGCATGTCACGTTTGGTGGCGTGGTGACATGCCAAGCGTGCGATATTTGCCAACAGCGCAGTCTGGATAGGGTGCGGTGTCTGGAACCCTGTCTCGTTACGTGCCCCTTGGGGATGTGACTGTCCCTGTGTCCGCCCCCGCCGCTCTGACCCGCCTCCGCCGCTCTGACCCGCCGCCGCCGCTCTGACCCGTCGCCCCCGCTCTGATCCGCCGTCCCCGCTCTGATCCGCCGCCGCCGCCCTGACCCGCCGCCCCCGCTCTGACCCGCCCCCGCTCTGACCCGCCGCCGCCGCTGGCAGTGGCGTGACGGAGCGGATCATCGAGGTGCTGCCGCAGATGGCGTGCCCGCACCGGGTGGAGCCGCACCAGATCCAGGGCCTCGACTGTGTCCATATCTTCCCCGTCATACAGGTGAGACCGGCACCACCGGCTCGCCGCCCTCCTGCAGGTGGGCGGGACCGACTGTCCTGCGGCCGAATGGCGTCAGCTCGTGGGAAGACTGTTTGCAGTATAGACAGATCCTGGACTCATGTCTCAAGTAGGCATTTCACTCTAGCTGTACCCTCCTAATGAACACGTAAGATTTCGAAAACCATATGATCTTTCCCAACGTATATGTAAATGCACGCCAAGGTACATTGCAACCTTTTTTGCGGATGTATGTGTATGACACATGCGGGCGTAAGACCATTATCGTCGGCACCTATTCCGCACGGCCTTTTGCCATGTTCCTCCGGCGATCTATGCTGGCGGTAATATTGAACCATTGTCTCCTGCACCAACATTTACCACTGTCTTCCCCTCTATAGATTATTTTCCGAGCGATGCTCTGGCAGGCGGTTTCTGTACCGAATTTCGCCTGGTGCTCCTACATGTGTATCCTCTGTTCCGCTGTAATCGTCCACTTACCTGCGGTGATTCGAATGCATGCGCGACGCCCACCATCTGGTGTCATGCTGCCGTCGCGCGCGTCGCCGCTGAGGTGCCGAGGGTGCTCTCAGCGGGCTGACGCCGACCCTGTCCCGGCGGCAGTGGTTGGTGAAGAAGGCGCTGGAGAACCAGGCGGAGACGGTGGCGTACACGGTGGGCTACGGCGAGTTCCTCTTCCTCGAGTGGCATCCGGAGCTGGCGTCACCGCGGCCACCGCCCGACCGGTGCCTGCTGCGACAGGCAGAGGTGAGACAATGAGGAGGGCCTTTCATCCCCCCCCCCCCCCCCCGCCCCGCCGCCGGTCGCTGCTGGGCGGGAACAGTACGGCTCCCCAGACGGAAGATGAGGCAGCCTCAGGCGGGGCAGGGTTTCTGGAGATGAAGGGGCCAAGACCGCAAGGGTAGCCGCGGGGCAGCGGTGGCAGCGGTCCGTAGGGTGGCGTGACACGCGACAGACAGGTCAGAGCCTTTTTGTGAGGTGTCCGAAACAAGATAAAGTCCAGGCTCCGAAAGAGATGCATGGTGCAGCAACAGTCTTCATTTGTGCATTCGCTTGTTACTCGGTCGTGTTTATCATGAACAAGATGGTACCTTAGTGGCAGAGGGGTGTACGTGGTACAATGTGGCTGATAGAAAGTCTCAGTATTGTTTTCCCGGTCGGGATCCTGACGGCCGCCTGTGTTCAGGAGCGGTTCCGTCGCGTTGAGCGGCCGGTAGCACCAAAGAGCTCCGATGCGGAGTCCGCGGCACCACCTGAGCCGGCGGAGCCCTCCCTGCAGGTGAGGCCAGCGACGTGGAGTTCTACAGCTGGCCCAGGACGGGAGTCGGACACGCAGTTAAAGACGTGAGGTGCGATCTGGTCAATGGGTGGCCTCGCAGATGGCAGTGGCCCGATGCAATTTCACACGGCGCCCACTGGCTGCAGATGTCGGGCTTTGGTAAAGTTTGCTTTATTTGATGCCACGTCTCTTCGGTTGCACTCTAACTCCCAATGTTCAGGTCCCGCCACAGCAAACATGGTGAATCGAGTTTGTTGATGCTTAGAACAGTTGTTTCTCCATCGATGTGTACGCTTTAAGAGAACCAAACAACTGGACCACTCCTCGTTGCTGGCCGGGCTGCGGCGTGCTGAGCGCCGCCGTGACCTCTGTGTGACGTGGCCGCCCCGTCACGCCTCGCCGCTGACCCGTGACCCCGCCCCGGTGCGTTCCAGCCGGGGGCCGAGGCCGTGGCGGCCATGCTCGGCGTGGGCGAGATCGCGCAGGCCGCCAAGGCGTACGAGCAGCAGACGAGACAGCTGCAGGTGCGAAAATAAACCGGCGTTGGGGCTGTTGACCGCGGCCGGTAATCAACGTGTGTTTTTGGCATTCGGACCGGGTGCTACCGCCGCCGAGCTGTGGGGTCTGACTGTATAACAACGGATCCGGACGTGGTAACACCGATGATGAGTGTCGCAGCTATGCACTAGTCTATGTAAGACCGGTTCGCGAAGTGAAAACACCGTGTATCAGCAGACGCGTGATAAATACCGCAGCCAGGAGACGGCTCGTACCGCGGTAAGGCTGGATCCGCCTGTGACAATGACGGAGCTGCCGCGGCCGCGCTTGGTCTGGCCGTGGCAGCACCGCCGCCGGGGTCAGGTCGTGCCGGGACAACGTGGCGTCTCGCCGGCGTCAGTGCGGTGTCTGACAACGCCAGCGGTCTGGGAGTTACAGCGATGACGCTCGCTCGAACCGCGCCCCCGGGCCGCCGCGCCGCAGCGAGCCGTGACCGCCGCCGCCGCCGCCGGCAGGAGTCGGGCCTGGACGCGGACCAGCACGGCCGGCTGCTGGCGGCGCTGGCCGAGCGGCTGGCCGACACCGAGCGGCGCATGACGGCCGTGTCGGAGCGCTTCGGCCGGCTGCAGCAGCGCCAGCAGCAGCTGCGGGCCGAGCGCGACGCGCTGGAGGCGGAGCGCGCCCAGCTGGACGCGGACGAGGCGGAGGTCACCGACGGTCTGTCGCCCGCCGCCCTGGCGTGAGTACTGCCGGCAGAGCTTCCACAGGGCTGGCGGCGTGCACGTCCGCTTTGTTGCTGCTTTGGTGTGGTGGGGCGTTTTCATCATTTGGGTCGTTTTCTGGTCGTTTGGTTTGTTATAGGAGTTGCGGCGTTGCAACTGTACGTAATCTGTCAAAAATTGTTAAGATGTATTGTTTGTAATACCATGTTTTGTGTAGCATTCATTTGACATAATCACTACCTTTTGAATTATTACTGGTAGGTGCTTCCGTATCATGCTTGAAATTGTCTCCGTATGTGGTAAACCCCTTACAACGCGTGCTTTCAGCACGCTAGAGGCAATCTTGACATCTTTTCAAGAGGCGGACGCGATATTGTCCGAAGATCAAGCATTCAAGGAAGAGTGCAAAGCTGAATACACCAAGCTTCAAGATGAGATCAGGTGAGCCCGCAAGAGCCTCATGGTAACAGCATCATTTGACAGTACCGCTGCGTTGTGATGGAGTCCAGAGTGGCCCAGTACACTTACCGTGCCTGGGTTTGTTAATAGACACATTGTGGAGCACTGCCTGTGTGGACGGCATGAACGCCATCTGTACTCGGCCGCTGGCGAGCCGCTGACCGTGACCGAGACGTTTGGCCTGGCGTCCGCAGCCGGCTGCAGGCGCAGGCCGCTCCAGCCGACGACGACCCCCAGACGGAGCACGAGCTGGCGCGGCGGACGGCCGCCGTCGACCGGCTCCGGGCAGAGGTCAGCGGCCACGACCCCGCCGGCTCACCCCGGCGCCGGGGGGCTGACCCATGTCGCCGGCGGCTCAGCGAGTCTCGCCGACCCGTGTTGTGGGGCTGAACACCACGCTCCGTCATGGGGTCTGTATTGCATATGGGTTGGACCAGCTATGGTTGTGTAACAGCGCATTATTGTTTTATTTCATTACTTATCTGGGCTCCAAGAGCTGGGCGCCGGCGGTGTGCGCTAATCACGCCTTGTTTCATGCGTGCAGCCGTGTGTGCATGCGGTCAAATCCAGTAGTTCGACCTGTTTAGGGCTTAGGACCGATCTCCTCGCTGCTGCACACAATGGTTCGAGTGGATTGACCGCGGCGGCGACGGTCGCGGCGTCCCTGCGCATCGACCAATCAGCTGACATCAGTCGTCCGCCAGGTGGCCTCGGCCAGCCGGCAGGTGGCGCTGCTGGAGCGGCAGCTGGACGACGTGCCGTCCCGGGCCGAGATCGGCCAGTACCAGAAGCGTTTCGTCGAGCTCTACAACCAGGGTGAGAGTCCCCTCCCCTGCTGACACGGTCGACGGCGCCGGATGGGGACGGCTGACGGGGCTGACTGGGGCGACTCTCCGGTCTTGCGGCACGAAGTGCGGGGACGTGGACCTGTTTCCACTCCGGGCGCACCCTCATAGTGATATTTCTCTCTGCTGGCTTTGGTCTGGTGTCGAGAGCCGATTCGCATTTTCTTTCGCTGGTCTCAGCCCCCTGTGTCCAGCACCCCGCCTCGTCCAGGCTCGTTCTGCCCTTACTCTTCTTCACGCCCACACCTCCAGTGTCGTCCACGCACAAGGAGGCGAAGGAGTACTACGCCACCAACAACCTGCTCTCGGACACCCTGCGCTACCTGGAGAAGGAGCTGGCTCTGCTGAACTCCGTTGCGGAGAGTTACCAGGCGGCCAGCGGCTCGGCGGCCGGCCGCACCGAGTTCCTGCAGCAGCTCGACAGCATCGTGCTGAACATCAACAACAACAAGAAGAAGGTGACCGCGGGAGCATCGGATCCACGGCAGCCCTTCATTTAGAGTTTCGAAAACGCATGGTCACTTTCTTTGGATTCGGAAAGCTTTGGTATCCATCGAAACACCGTTAAAAAATGAAAAATTCCATAGACGGTGGCACATTTTTCCACCCTCAGTCAACCACGCTGCCATATGCCAGGATGTCGGTGGTCAATCACTCATCGTGCAGCCAGACTTGATTACAGGATAACTTTCCCGACGATCAGGGAGGTCCGACCCACGTGCCATGGCTTTGCTCTCCAGTCGAACAGCCCAGCAGACAGAAACAACGCTTTGTCTCGACTGGCATTCATAGCGTGTGCACGCTGATTGGCGTGAGCTTAGCGTGACGGTCCGTATTAGTGTGCGCGGCGTGAGCTGTTGCCGTACACTGCACCCTGCAGAGCGGGCGCGCCCGACCGGAGCTCCGACGCCCGCACTGTCTTGCAGGTGCTGGCCAAGAAGCAGACGGAGAAGCGAGCTGTGGACGTGCTGACCGAGCAGCTGGACGGCTTGCGGGCGCTGGCGCGCAACTACCACGCGGCGCTCAAGCAGTTCCGCAGCGAGTGTGCCGCCAACGAGGCGCTGACGGCCGCCGAGCGGCGGTAGGAGGACGGAGCGGCGCCGTACTCCCGACTCCGGATTCCGGACTCCCGACTCCCGACTCTGGACTCCGGACGGGGTGGCGGCGGTGACGCGGGGCTCCGGGCCTGCAGTCAGGCGGGGCTAGCGCCCGCTGCCGCTGGGACACGGCCCGTCCGGCAGCGGCCGGACCACGGCCGGCGGCTGGCCTCGGCTCCGGTCCGCGCTGGCCGGGCGGGGCAGGGAGCCGGCGTCCGCCGACTGTCGGACTCGGCGGCGGCGCAGGAGCGACGGGCGTGCACTGGCCACCTGGCCGGTCGGGCTGCTCTGCTTTCTGGGACCAGGCGATAAGGGGATGAAGGGATGGCGACCCGTGCCAAGCCGTTGGATTATGCTGGCACGTGCCTTTATCGATGTCAGGCCGGTGATAAGAAATGTGCCACGATTCCAGAAACGCTTTGCATTTGTGTTGCGCTCCAACTGTACTTGCCTGGGATTGAGTAATACGCTGCTTCTCGGGTGACGAGTATGTCTGGTGTTGCAAGCACGCAGTAAATGCCCACTTATTATAATATATCAATGTGTTCCCATTGGAAATACTAGGGATGGTGACGCTTTGCCGAGACCAGGACACCTTGTGGCTCACGAGAAATGTGTAGCCATGAATGCGTGGCTACATTCTCATTCAGTCTCAACCGACCGGGATTTTGTCCGCATTATCGAACACCTCCCGGTACATTACGGGTCGTTTATAACGCGGGTGTCACCCACAATACCATTGCCGGAGCCAGGTGTTTATATAAGGACGTGGCTGTAGGCCATGGCCAGCGGCGGCCGTGATTCGCTGCCCGGATCGCGGCCACCGTCCGTCGGCGGCGCGTGGTTCCGATCATGACGTGCTCGCCCCCCCCCCCCCCTCCCGCCATCCCCTCCGCCCCGGCCTGAGCCAGCTGAAAAGGCTGCATTGGACCATACGTCGTGTATTATTATCTGAGCACAGCGCTGGCTCGTACACTTGCGTCCACAGCTCGTGAATTGCGTAACTTCAGTACCGTGTGCCACACGTGTACGGTACGGTACCCGCAAATCCTATCGTCAACCGGGTCACTATCCGCTAACGCAGAATGTGTAGTCTATGGGGAGACGACATGGCGCCTTTCAGATGGCCGATCCATCGCATAACGGCTAAGATTGCGGCCTTTAAGGTGGCTGATCCCTCGCATAACAGCTAAAATTTCAAACAGCTGAACACAACTAAGCGACCATGCAGAAGCTATCGCTAAAGCCAGCGAATGTAGAGACTAACACCAACACTGAGAGAGATACACTTACGCCAACACTTACGGAGGAGTTGAGTCCCACCCGACGAGTCTGCGTACTACTCTACCACACCACCACGCAGACCACGCGGCCAGCGCTCGGCGAGCCGCGATGCACAGCATCGATGGCATCACATCAGACACCCACGCGCCGCCGGGCCCCGCGTCCGGCGGGCCCGCCGCCGGTGGCGCGGGGCCGGCCCGCCGGCGGCCACCTGGCGACGCGGGCAGACTTTGTACCATGGCCGGCGTCTGCGGGACACCGGGCCGGGCGTCGTGCCGTCCCGGTCCACCGGTGGGCGTCGGCCGTGTCGACTTCTACGGCCGGTGCGCGCCCGGCGGTTGGCGGCGGCCGCGCCCGGCGTCGCTGCTGCCGCCTAGTGGCAGGCGCACGAAGCGAGGCGTGCCCTCAGACGCTCGTTCTCGCGCGTGATCTCTTCCATGGACTCCTTCAGCGCCGCGTTCTGGGGGCCCAGCGGTCGGAGTCAGGTCCGGTACGGGCTATGTACTTAGTTCGTTCGGCCGCGCTGCCCGCGAACACGGCAGATGACGCGCGAACGGACGATAGCGTAGAACTGACACACTCACACACTCCAGAGCACTCGCTCAACAGCGGCATATTCTTCACACATGTACGCACGCGCGCGCCGTCTGTGAAGTGCCGCACATGACATGCCCTGCAGGGCCACCCTGGAGCTGACGCCCGGTACGTTATCATGCCGGCACACCCGCTGGGAAGCGATCCGTACATCCTCCAACGTCACACCCCTGCCCCAAGAAAGTGATCCGTACATCCTCCGACATAGCACCCCTCTCCCATGATCTCAACCCATCGTCACGTCCCGACAACCCGACACGGTGCACCCCGATCGCCGCCGGCCATGGAGGGCGCTGCGCTCCGACCTCACCTCCTTCTCGAGGAAGTTGGCGCGCAGCACGATCTGGTTCTCCTTGAGGCGGCGCGCGTCGCGGGAGCGCTTGGCGGCGAAGTTGTTGCGCTCGCGGCGGGTCCAGTACTTCTGGTCCTTGCGCTCGTCCGGCACCACCTGCGGCAGGTGCGGCGCCATCAGCGTCCTCCCGGACCAGGCTCGCGTGGGGCTGGGAGACATCGACGGATGCCAGGCTGCTGATCACTCCACGGTGAGCGGTACGGCGAGCGGGCATCGGTAAAACACAGCTGCTCAATGCGCACGAAACTGCAGACAGTCACCATGGCATATCATAGTTGACTAATGAATGTTAATACATCCTAGCCAAAGTTGAATCTCCACTATGTTTAAACTGGCATCCGCTCCGAACCATCCAAACATCATGAAAGACCGCACTTCGGAGCAAATCTATGCACAAAATGACATCTTTCATTTTCAAACGAAAAAACCTTATGCAAAGCGTTTTGTACAAAGGCTGCAGCGGGCTTAACAGAACAGTCCCGCCGTGCCGCAGCCTGCCGCGGTGCCCACCTGTTTCTTGGACTTCTTGCACATGGGTTGCGGCTTGAGCTCGTCGTCGGAGAACTGGCGTGTCTGCGGGTCGAAATCCAGGCCGGGCGCCGTGGCCAAAGCCAGGTCGGACGGCGAGACGCGGAACTTGACCGGCACACGCACCCGGGAGGAGCGCTCCCGACGCGACACCGGCTTCTCCTCAGCTGGCGGCCAGCAGAGGCGGGGTCAGTCGAGGCCGCGTCACGAGACCAGCGCTCCTCTCGACAGCAACAGGGACGTCTACGCTTTGAATGATGTCATCCATGGTCCGCGAATGTCTCCCGGCGCGCTCGTGGTCTCATATCTGGTCCCAGCTTCTACATCCCCGTGTCGAGTCACAGTAGGTACCCGCACTGATTACTTCGTCGGGTCCCAGTGCCCGTATTTCGGTGTTCAGCCCCTGCCTCCGTATTCCAGCGTCTAATCCCAGCGCCCCCCCCCCCCCCCCCCCCCCGGCCGTACCCCAGCCGGTGCCAGCTCGCCAGCCTCACCTTCGCTGTGTCGTCCGCGCGGCGCCGGCTTGAGGGGCGCCTGCTCCGGTGGCGGCAACGGCGGCGGCGAGGCCTCGGCCAGCGCCGCCTCGGGGCCATCGGCCGGCGCCGGTCTGCAAGGAGGGGCCGGGCTGTCCGCGCCCAGACCCGAACCGCCCAGCAGCTCGTTCTCGTTCAGGAATTCCTCCAGGTCCACGCACTCAAGCTGCCCGGGCAGAGCGGCGTCAGACGACGGACGCGGGTCTGATCAGGTCAGGTCAAGCCAGATCGGGTCAGGTCAGGTCAGGCACGTAGGAACGGGGTGAGATCAGTGCGCTGTGCGGTGGCCACGGACGGACCAGGACAGGTGTTGACAAACTGAGCTGCAATACGGGGCAGTTTTTTTCCATTTTAAAATATCCTGGCCACGCCGCAGGCTCCCTACGGCGATCTTTAGAAAGTGGAGCGCCAGGAAGCCCAGCTACATGACATCAAAACAACAAAACTTCGCCCAAAACCGTGTCCAAAAATTAGCTTAAGGCCGGTCCACGTGATTATTAAAAGCTGCGCAACACAAACGACGAGTTTACTTAAAAGTGGCACCAGAGCGTGCCTGGAATCCCCAAAGGACCCCAGAACCCGATCCCAGGATAACATAACCATGGAACGCTGTGGGATCCCCACACAGGTATGAGTGACGTCATAGGTGGCTGTTTGTCGGTTTGCACCGTTTTATTGAACCCTGTTTTTTTCGAGACTTCAAACATTTTGCACACTACCACAAAAAAGAAACAAGAAAGCAAAAACAGTGAGGCGCAGCATGGCATCTGAGCCTGGCTCGCCCAATGTCGTCATCAATGCCTGGACACCTGCCAACGCCACGTAGCGGGGTCGCGCAGAGGCTAAGTTGCGCGCCTGGGACACCAGAGGCACGGAGTTTGATGACCCGCGGCGCCCGTTCATCCTGCCAAGTTGCGACACCACAGTACGGCGTTGATTATGGCGTCGTTTAGGCTGTATGGTGACACCCAGACAGGCGACTTCGTGCAGCCTGAGCGTGTTGGTAATGAGCCCGTCGATCCCCAGTGACAACGCCCCCGCCCCTCCCCATCCCCTCCACAGCCAGGATCACAACTATGCATGAAGTGAGACGAGTGGCAGGCCGGCGGTGACGGTGCCGTCTAGGGCGGGGGGGGGGGGGGACGGCGGTAGCACCAACCCACCTGCCGTCAGCCACCCACCTTGAAGTCGGTGTCGAGCGTTGAGCCCCAGATGTTGGGTCCCAAGAACGCCGCCTGTGCATCCAAACACGACCAGGAGTCATCGTCCTTCTCCTTGTCTGTGGACAGCCAGAGGTGGAACTTGAAAACCTTGTAAGACGGCAGACGACTGGCAGATGACAGACAAGGCGACAGATAGACGACAGACAAAATGACAGATAGAGGCCGACGATAAACGGACGACAGACAATGCAGCTGAGCATATCCAGTGTGGGGGTAATTACTCCGCAAGGCCTGTGTGCGCGTTTTGGTCAAGATCGAGGGAGTAGTTCGCATTTCAGCCGGACGCGCCAAGCCCGTCCACCCACCCACCCACCCATCCCTAGAACAAACACAGATTTTGAGAGGAAAGAGGGTCAAGTACGAGAAGTTTCCTTTGCATTGCATTTTGTGGTGGGTTTAACCGCGCTCCCCACTCAATGCCACACTGATACATATTTTCATGACCGCCGGACCCGAACCAGAACATCCTCGATATTGGCCATAGGTACTCTCCAAAACCCGCCGCAAGAATTGGGCCCGCAAGCTTGCTTCATTCGGCGTAACGTCCATTTGGCGACCGTGTGAAAACGTAAACGGGACGACAGCGGCACGGCCGGGGATGCCCGGCGGGTACTGACAGTCCTGGCCGTCCCGGGATAGTGCTGACACCGACTGATACGCCCGACCGCTGGCCGAGGCCGTGACGTGACACGCTGTGACACGCGCCAAGCCCGGGCGAGACGACGCGAGGCCCGGCGTGACGGCCGTGGGGCTGCACGGTCATCCATGGGCGTCCTTGGACCTGCTCGGCTGTGGGGTTCCCCATCGATGGACGGCGTCTATTCGGTTGGCGATGTCGTCGCAGTAACTCTGATCGAGGAAGGGCTGATGACCAGATCGGTCAACGCCTGGACGACATACCCACGCGCATATCGGTTTTTTAAACAAAAATTGTGTATGCTGTACTTTCATCCGCAAATTGTGTTGTATGGATTACACTTAATTTATCGACGTGCCATATGAAAGGATTGGCATCGACACCAGCCCATTTGAATGGAGTGGTTCATAAACAAGCGAGCTGCCGTCTACGATTGCCGGCGTTGCACTAAAATACCACAGCGCGGATAAAGCCGAGCTTTCAAAACTGAACATGCAGCTTGTGCGAAGATGAATATTTCGCCGGTTGGCACAGAAGCAGCAGTTTTCTAGGCATGGCACCACAACATCGTCGGACAACTGACAGTTGGAAACTATGCTCTACCAATAGCCCCTCCGCGAACGTCAAAGCAACTGATAATCTCCATTCTCGTCACTAGATGTCGGTGCTGGCGATGAGCATCGATTCCTCGCTGACCGCGACCCGGTGGCGTGTGTTGGCCGTGGCCCAAGGCCGTTACGTCACACGTTTCACTGGCCTCGTCATTACATAACAGGACCGGCACCCGGCCGGGGCGGGCCCACGCCGGGCTGGAGCGCGGCTGGGCCACGCTGCGTTAGCGATAGCGCCGCAGCTGCGCCCGCCGCCGTCTGGTGGAGCATGACATAACCGGTGAGGGGCCGATCGGATGCGCCACCGGAGCGAGAGGGTGGTAGGGGGCGGAAGGTGGTAAATGGGCGGGGCAGAGAGCGCGGCCCCCCCCCATCGCTCATGAATGTTGCGGCGGCGCGCGATAAAGCGACGTAAAAAAACTCGCCGGGCTATCCACTTCCGTACAGAACCGGCATAATTAATAGGAGACAGCCAAAACAGTGAATGCGTCTTCAGATGTTGGTGCGACGACTAAAAAGGAGTCGGCATCACGCCTCTGAAGTAAAACTCGCATTACGCCAATGGCGGCGCGTGGAAACGAATGGATCAGAATGACCGGAGCCGCACGTGCCGGGTTCTCTAAGTTATCCATGCGTGAGCTACGCGACTGATACCCGTGACCAGCTAGCTGTGCGTGCCTCCACTAACCGACACTGCGAGTGCAGGTGGCATTTCCAGCCCATTAGTCAACAGCTATTGACAACAGCCCCTACATTGGAGACTGATGTGCCGTGATGACCAGCACCCTTCCCGTGTCCATCTTGCCTTTGCCATGAGCAGGTCTTCGCGTCGTGGTGCTTTTCACAGGCCAAGGTGTCGCTACGATGACCAGCTATGGGGCTCACACGCGCTTGTCGGAGCAGTGCCACGCGCAGCCGCTCCCACCGCTCTAATGACGACCTCCGTCATTGTGGGACGCCACTTCACCTGCTCAGCACCAACACTTGCTGTATGATGTAAGCGATGGTCCCATTTCCCAGGAAGAATCAACTGATGCCCAGAAATGTTTTTAATTTACGAAATAAAACCCCGCAACTCTCCCTTCTGAGCACGGCGGCCATTTCTGCGCTACGCTCACATAACCAATCGTTCACGCACATCCGTACAAACGGATCCGCGCAGCCTTCATTGCGGTTGCGCTTCTGTTTGTGAGCGTTTACTGGCGACCGGATTCACCTTGAACCTGACAACTACGCACAACAAGGGCCTTGACGCCGACACGCAGCCCGGGCCAGCCGACGAGCGGGGCCGCTGGATTTCCCGTCGGCGGCGCCGGGGACGTCAATAGCTGCCCGACGTCCGACGCACACCACGCCAGCGCAGACTGCCTCCGGCTCGGGCCGTCCCGTTGACGCAATGCTGAGGCGGTCGAGACCGCTGGGATCAAGGGACGCCGCGGCTTGTGTGGTTAACATGTGCATTCAGTCGCTGGTGACTACGCATGCGTAGAGCGCCGAATTCGTGGTAGCCTAGTGACTAGTAGGCACTGGTGACCTCCCCCAAGGCCGACTGATCGGGACGCCCACGCTGTCCGGCGACCTCGGGGAGCATCCAAATGCGTTGGTCACATGACCGGAGCAGTGCGCCGCGCTTGGCAGTGGTACACGACGGCGCAGACAGGCTGAGGCACTTGGGGGGGGGGGGGGGGAGGCAGATAAAAACAGCCATTAGGAACAACAGGAACGGTGATGAAAATGATTCAATGTTGCATGAGATGAGAAAGAGCGCTGGGCAGAAGCCCTCGCAACACCCCGAAATCACAACGCTGCCCACCCGCGACGCCGCTGCTGTAGCCGCCCTCCCCTGGCGGGCGACATCGGGACCGCTCGAGACGCTCCCTGGCGCAGCCTCTGCGCCACCGGCATCTGTTCGGGCGGCCTCGGGGGCGGCGGCAGGGCACGGGCCCGGTGCCACGCCGCGGCTCGCCAGCCACGTGACAGGCCGCTGGCGCGGCACGCCACGTGCTTGGCACGCGCCTGGCGCGGCAGAATTTAGCGACGATCCCTGACACTTGTGAGGTCAAAGTGGTTCAATGTGTCAAAAGCCCGCTTATGAGCATGGCTGAAACCGCGCATGCCGGTCTCGCGGTTCGCTTGTGCGTAAATAAACAGTTTCAAAATTCGGGTAGTGAGGTCGAGCGGTACCGTAACTTAACTTCCCGGTAAGGAATCGGACACCACGTACACTTGCAGTATGAAAACCACATGGGTACCTGCCCAACGGTACGTCCAGAGGCTATCGGCAGCTGCACAGACTCGTGCTTGATAACATGTTCTTCAGGTTCAGGAGGCGTGTTTCTCACGAAAGATAAGCCATAGCATAACTGAAAGAACCAACGATTTCATCCGAGCTGCCGCAGTCTATGACGCTGTGAACACCATGCAGCTCTCGGCTGCGTAGCCCTCGCCCAAATTCGCCCTTTTTATAATACATAACACTTGATAATAGGGGAGGGGGCGAAGCGAACCCCCGCCGTTTCCAGACTAAGAAAGATACAGCCTTGCACAAGCAAGAAACGGTAGCTTGAGCTCAGCGAGGTCTCGGCGGCTCTCGCCGCCCACACCGTCCGCAGATCGCCAGCAGTGTTTCTAAAAACCTCGCTGTACGGAAAACAAACATCCTGCGCATGCTTTTTTATGTTCAACATGCGTTATGAACGCTCCGTTGGCTACTGAATTTGACGGTGGCTCCCACTGGCTACCGAATGTGTCGGTAACCCATGGGTAACTTATCTGTTCGTTGCCCTGTCGTGCAATCGCGCTCAAATCGGGCGTAATTGCACGACATGCCGAAGAGATGCCTCCCGAAAACCTTGGGTGGGGTGGGGGTATTGACCACCCTCTGTAGGGAAAAGGGTTCTCTTGAGGAACACAAACCAATGCTGTCCAACTTAATCCATCGTGGGTTATTTCCCAGTCGTCCGGCCGAGTCATAAATGCGGGCCTGGATCCTGTCCGCCAGACCGAGAGGCGAACGGAGCGCCTAACGGCTCGGTCGCCCGCGTTCCACCCCACCCCACATCTCCAAACGGGCATCAGATGGCACTCAGCGGTCCTCGCCGCGACGACAAACTTCGTGATCTGCTGAGCAAAACCATTCATCGAGCATGCAGCACACGAGTGAACGGTAACCGTCCCGCCATCGTGTCCGTGGTAGGCTGGGACTGAGTGACTGGGCCCGCCCGCATCCGCTGAGCCATGGTCCGGAGAATAACGTGGTGCTGCGGTGCCTTTGTTCAACACCCGTCACACGCCAGTTGATTGACAGCGGATGTGGCATTAGATTGCAAGAGTGGATGATTCCGCATGCGGTGCATTCTCTTTTAGGCTTTCAAAAACAACGACAGAGTGATGGCTGAGAACACTACAGGCTAAAAGCAAACGTTGTGAGCGTTAGCAGTCACTTCTACCTGAATCGTTTTGCCTTAAAAAGAAGCTTGTCGTGCTAGGAGCATACAACGGCAGCACATCATGCCTATGCGGCAACGACAAAAAAGTTTGCCCAAAGTCACGACACCCCAGTGTTGTCGCCGGAGGGGAGGGCTAAAAACACGACCAACCTACTGTAAAAGGTGATGAGAATGGCCAATCAATTAAGTGGCAACAAGGGCTACTCATCGTAAGACATGCGGTTTCAGAAAACGACTGATTTCAAACAATTGCCCCACTAAAGGACAAATGATGGGAAAACGTCATTGTCAAGCCTAAAAGTATTGCGAAACGGGTCTGAGCATTTTAAAGAACCAGTGAGCAAGCTTCCATTGTTCGGACGGGTCAGCTGCAAATAAATTGAGCAGGTCGGATCCCACACTATTAGAAACTGGACAAGACTTCAGAAGTTGGCTTAATTTTATCCGTTGGAAGGTTCGGGACACATTTGTTCACAGCAGGTAGAGATACCTACTCAACAGCTCTGCTGCTATGACACCCCGCGTTCTGTACGACGTGTACATTGAGATCCAAAGCCATTAAAACGATTTCCCTTGTTTGGCTGTTCGTGCTCGCTGTGTGAGCGGGAACAGATTTTGCATCTTAGGTTGCTGCGCGTGGTTTGCTTCCGTTTATTCTGTCGTGCCGGCCGTCTGACTGCGAAGCGTGAAAGGATCGAAAATATTGGAAGACGATAACAAGAATTTTGACAGAATTTTGATGGAATTTTGATTTGTAGAGATAAGTATGCGAGCAAACCCGAACAGTCGAAAAACTCACGATTAATGAGCTTACATTTTCCGCGAATCGGAACTGGTAAACCCGACTGTCTGTTTCCTGTTGTGGTGGACGCAATCTCCTATATCGCCCGTCTCCGCAATAACGCGATCGCCGTGCGTTCGCACACTGCGGCTTGCTGTGCGGCACTTTAAATTAGCCACACGAGGGACCCAATTTTGTATCCGAGCGTTTAGGTTAACAATTTGTTACGGCGTAGACATGGCATAAATGGGTGTCCAAAGACCCATTCACAGCTCACTCTGAAGACATATCAGGCACTACACGACCTCAAGCGGATACCTTCGGCGGAGGATGCACGGTCAATGCAAGTGACGCCACGCCAATTTTCGTAAACTTTGGGTGCTGATGCTCTGGTATACGAACCATGGAAGGTACTAGCACAGGCACAGACTGAGCTTACATGAGTCAAAAACATGTTGTCAAGCACGTGCAAACGCCACAATCGAACGATAATGGTGACACCACGCAGAGTCATACCGGCACCTCAAAAAATCGATGAAAATTCGATTGTTAAGCAGACAAGAAAGGCAAGGGTTCCGTAGTTTTCATGGGGCGAATTATACTCAAAAGACATCAAAACAGCATGTACCAGGGCGGATCACATCGTCCTGGCCATAGCAAACATGTGGAGCCTGCGTGCGTCATCATTAAATAGCCCGTCATTCAAAGCCAGACGGACTAACGCTTCCCTTACATGCTTCGTTTTACTGTCATGCGCATGGCAGAACGATGCAGACTTCTTCAAAATCGCACGTCAGATGTTCATCGCAGAAATCACATTAACTTCACGGTCGCGTTAATAACTTGTCCCATTTAATCACAGCACATCATGTTGTCTGATGTCTCCCGCGGTTCCCCTGATTCCCTGATTTTTGGAAAACCTCGCTGCTACATCCCTCCCATCTTCTTTTTTAACGCTCGAATGCTTTGCACGACAGGTTTTGTGTTTATCGACTTGCTAGCATGCACGTGACTGGTTCCCTGAACCCACCACTTACCGCGGGCCGATCCTGTCCGTTGTATAACTCCGCCTACGACCCCTCTGCCAGACATGACTGCGGGGGTTTTAAGAGTTGCACAGCACGACATGGCCACCCGGACCACGCTAAACCGGTTTGGTCACTTGCCAACAGGCATTTTGTTGCCAGACGGGCAAAACGTCCATCCGCTCCGTGGCCCGCATACAGCCTCCGCGAACGCACAGCCCAGTACCTTCCCGCCAAACAAACGGGGTCGCAGCAAGCGCCCGCACAAAATGCTATCAACGCGCCAGTAATTCTACTTCGAAATAAGAACTGCGTGCGGACTAAGTTGACGCAGTTCACAGTCCTGTGTAGACTCCAGCAATGTACTGTGCGTTAACCAAACTCCAGTTTACTTAGTCCAGGCAGGACACAGCCCGCCAAGAACGTCAGCAGCTTACAATGATCGAGACGGCCACCTGCGTCCGTTGGCGTCCCCAGCGAACGACACTTCCTTGAGCTGCGTTGCGTTACGTTGATACCTCCCATTTGAGACGTACAATAGCGACGGACACTTATTTCAAGCGATATTAAATAAGCCATACAAGCATCCTTAGTGTTTGCTGGCCGGCTTCTGCTCCAACACTGAGCTCGGGTAGCTTATATCTCGCAACGTAAAGGGCAAGAGCAAAATAATAACAAAAGCTGAACTTCCTCCACCCAAAACTGGGGGTGATAGGATTGCTTTAGTGGTTTGCAGGATATCAATCTTGCTTACTTCAAGGACCGTCTAAAAATTACGCTTCTCGCTTAATGGTATTTGTAGTCCCTTTCCCGCTGTTACGCAAAGCTTACTCTGGCCGAAAACCCTCCTGCTTCTGCTACGCTGTGTTAAGTGTAACGTCCCAAAAGGCACGCTGATTTCGTCCCTGAGCCAAGTGTGAAAAGACACGCATGCTACTTGTCATAATAGCACGCCAACAATATTCCTCTTTCAGATTTATCACTCCTTAAAACAAATCTAAAAGGAAATTACAATCACACTCGGGTGTAACGTTATGCTGTCCATCCAGCCAGACATCGACAGCCTCTTATCTCTTCTTACGCTTCAGCTACTCGCTATCAAGACCTTCCTCCCCCTCCATTCGTAACGGAATACATGGACAGTTTTCTTTGACTCTTTGGACTCTTTTGTTTGTTGTTTATTAGTGGTTATACATCTTTCCACTGTCCCCCCCCCTCCCGACAGAAACATCCGCTATCTTGTGCGATCCTTGTTCTGAAAGTAATCCAGAGACCACTGCTGATATTGTCAGTAAACGCAACCTGCACATCGTCAACATATTCGTATGCATTATTATTATTACCAGGATTTTGAAGGCCATGAGCTCCGGGAGGGAAAAGGGAGGGACCGATCCTCCAAAGTTCAGAAAGTTTAGTACTGGCCATATGGGCGTATGAGCGTTGACCGGAAGGAAATAACCAACACGCACGATTCGCGCGCTTCAACACAAGAATGCTCTCAGGCATTTTAATGGTGACGTCACCGAGGGATTGCCAGGCCTAATTCCGACCATCCCGGCCAAAGCCTTTTAAGAACCGAACTTGGCGCGACCTCTGCCTTGTTCGTGCGTGATCCGTATCACTGAGAGGTCCGCTAATTTTGGGCTCTCTTTTTATAGTGATCACCGATGTGGACAGATGGGGATGTGTTGAGGCATACCTCAGGCCTATACAAATCATAAGTTGATCTGAATTATTGGTGACTATCCCTCCAGCAAGATAAAACATTTCAGTTCAAATTGCGGACAGTTGGGATCGTGCTGGAACTGAATACCCTGCCACTGTCATTCTGTAAGGATTCAAGATAGATATTGTTCTTTTGAACTTTTTGCATGCATTGTTATAAGGAATTAATGCCAGAATTGTACAACAGTGACACATCAACTTCACTGTTTAGGCCAGGATCTGTACAACTGGCCAGTGTGCAAGCTGTTCCAACATTTCATGTTCTGGGTGGATAAGCCAGCATTCCTGTGGTCCTTCAGAAGGGGGCATCTTTAAAAGGGTGAGTGTACTATTTATTAACCACTTAAGCAACTTGGTCCATAAAAGCTGCAGACACATCTCATTGACCTTTGCACATACTTGCAAGATATGACCACCAGTTTGTTGATTAAAGAAGAAGAGAATGGTAGGTGGGTCATCAGGGATCACAAATATGCAAAACAAATCATGTCACTCACCTTGGGTAAGAGGATTTACTTTCAGTAGATTGCCATTCTCTTCAAGTATAGACTGAATGGTAAAGCCCATTCCAAAATTTGTTTTCATGTTCAGACCATCATCCATCTTGACGGCTGAAATTAGAGGGGAATTGATTTATTTATTAGCAAATAACTCATGGCATACAACACACAATGAACACTCCCTGAAAAAGGTCCAGGAACATGACAATTGTCAAATCCTTTTCAGAGCTCTAAAATGAGATGTAGCTCTGTGCAGAGGCATAAAAACAGGCATCAGAACATCACATGCAATCTATCAGGGTGGTGGTTGGCCCTGTGGATTTTGGGTTACCTCATGCCATGAAAGGCATTCAACTTTTCTCTGGAGAGGAATCTGACATCCATGCTATTAGGATCAATGTGCACAAAGCCTGCATAGGCATCTTGATGACACAGCTGTAGGGAAGATGGTGTAGGTGTACTTTCATACCTAACATAAGAAAAAATCATTGCACACCATTTGTCGTGTTCAAGGCAGCACATATCGTAAATCATCTCAAAACAGGTAGAATCATGCTCCTACCTTCGAATTTCAATAACTTCGATGGCGAGCTCCCGAGCGCCGCGCGCACCGCACCGCCTGGACTCCCCAGCGCCGTTTCTGCGTTGCCGTTGCGTAAATACAATGTTTCTGCTTACCAAGAACTCTACAAAATGTACGGGACCAAGGTAAACCATTCGTCGTGTTTAAGGCGGAACATATCGTAAATAATTTCAAAACAGATAGAATCATGCTCCTACCCTCGAATTTTAATAAATACGATAGCGAGCTCCCGAGCGCCGCACGCCCCGCACCGCACTGCCTCGACTTCCAAGCGCCTTTTCTACGTTGTTGCGAAAGCACAATATTTCTGCTTATCAAGAACCATAAAACATGTACGGGACCAAGGTAACAATAATAAAGCAACCAAAATCGTTTCTTATCGAGTTTAGGTACTTTTATGAAACACGCAGGCCAGAATAGTCCAGAACATATCCTAACCTAACCTAACCTTACCTAACCTAACCTAACCTAGCCTAACCTAACCTAACCTAACCTAACCTAACCTAACCTAACCTAACCTAACCTAACCTAACCTAACCTAACCTAACCTAAACTAAACCTAACCTAACCTACCTAACCTAACCTAACCTAACCTAACCTAACCTAACCTAACCTAACCTAACCTAACTGAGAATAGACCAGAACCTAAGCTAAGCTAAGCTAAGCTAGACTGACCTGACCTGACCTGACTTGACCTGACCTAACCTAACCTAACCTAACCTAACCTAACCTAACCTAACCTAACCTAACCTAACCTAACCTAACCTAACCTAACCTAACCTAACCTAACCTAACCTAACCTAACCAACCTCCCCACCCTATATCCCCTTCAACCCAGCATCTCATTGGCATCCATGTTCCATGCCATATATGGGTGCCATATAGTGAGCTTTTATTTAGCTGCCATGTTCTCATTTTGCTTTACATTCCCCACCCAATCCCCCTGCAACCCATGGTCCCGTTGGCGTCGAGGATCAAATTTCATGGATTCTTGCTACCTTGTCCCGGTACATTTTTATGGTTCGCAGTAAATATGGTTTATAGTTATAGTATGGTTTATATAGTATAGTTTATAGTTATAGCTATGGTTTATAGTATGGTTTGCAGTTAATATGGTTTGTATGGTAAATATGGTCATGGTAAATATGGTTTATGTTTAGTAAATATTTTTATGGTTCGCAGTTAGGTTATGGTTGTCCTGCCTTAAACATGACGAATGGTTTACTTTGGTCCCGTACATTTTGTACAGTTCTTGGTACGCAGAAATATTGTATTTACGCAACGGCAACGCGGAAACGGCGCTGGGGAGTCCGGGCGGTGCGGTGCGCGCGGCGCTCGGGGGCCCGCCATCGAAGTTATTGAAATTCGAAGGTAGGAGCATGATTCTACCTGTTTTGAGATTATTTGCGATATGTCATGCCTTAAACACGACGAATGGTGTACAATGATTTTTTCTAACGTTAGGTAGGAAAGTACACCCTGACCGGGAAGATTTAACCTTTTGCACATAATTGTAAATGGAGAAAAACTGATGCTTTTGGCTCACAAAATATGAAGTTAGCATCTAAACATGCATTAAGATGTTCTGATTTTGATGGCTACAAATCCTGTTCAGTGGATCAGACCCCCATTGTCTAGCAGCACAACCACAAGGGTCCAGAGAGATCTGCATGGCACCAACCATACTGATAACCTAGCAGGCCATGAATAATCTTACGTTGTTTTCATGGTCAGGCATCTGACCATGAGCAGTGAGTGCTAAGGAATTGGTTTGATGAGGCTGGTTAGGCTGCTAGGATGGGTGCAGTTCCATTACTCAATGTTTACGTTGCTTAATCATATAAATCATCATGCTGTGTCCCGACCCTCAAAGCAGTCAGTACAGTGTCTGTTCCATGAGCTTGGCTGGACTGGCCTTGGTGCCTCAGGCTGACCCCCTACCAACAATGATGGGATGTCAAATGTTCCTGGTGTTTCAGGAGCATACCTTCATCTTAGGATTGTTACATTATGTTTCAAAGGTTGTGTTATAATGTTCTTTATGCTTTTATTCATATTTTTGTTCTGTCAGTATACAAGAAACCTTTAATGGTAATGCTGAGTTAAACAGCATTCACATAAAAAATGCATTTGTTGCTGCATCAGTAATATCCCAAATATGGCTGATGTGACAGCAGCTACACTGACTGTTTGAAAGCTACATCACAAGCAAACATGCCAACCATCATTGAAATTTCTCTTATGTTCCCATCATGCCATTTCAATAAGGCTTCATCAGTCAGCTGCATCACACCACCTTTCCTCAATGTTCAACACCCAAGATTAATTGACCCATATTAGAACTCAGAAAAGTGTGGAGCAACAAGGATAGTATATTGTACATTGGGTGAAGCTGCAGATGCAAGAAAGGAGAAGCTTTTCCATTCAAAACATGCCTCCTCCCCCAGTCCCCACAAACTTATGCACCAGCATCAGTCTGATTCCCTGCTTAAGTTATGATTGCTGCATACTGATGACATAGAAGCCGCTGATCTCCCATGGAAACATTGCATGATCATGTGCACAGTGCATCATTAGGGGCGGCCAGCGAGGAGCAGCATATATGGGCAGCAAAACTCATGTCCAGTCATTACCTGGAGCCTGGGCTTTTCATACAGAAAACAGCAGGCTGGAGGAAACTCACCGGTTGCTGTACAGAAAGTCCAACCTTAACACTATCTGTCCCACGTATCCGACACGGCTCCGTCCGATGTTTCCCAACCCCCAGCGGGCCCAGCCTCCAGGCTCTCCCCCCTCAACACGGGCTACTCAACTGATACAATAGCACGGCCGAGCGGAGGTGGGAAGCAACAACATAATTTGGCAGCTTTGATTGGGCGCTTTTGGACAGCTTGGGCTTAAACCTTGGCAGAAATGTACAAAACAGCTGTTCGGTTTGAACCGGGTATCAACGTGAAGCAATGCCCGATCCAGAGGGGAGGGGGAGCATGGGGGTCAAGCCCCTCCCCCCTTGGGTGCCGAGGGGATCCATAGGCTCCGAGGGACCCAACGCCTACCGAACAGGTGCAGTTTTTTTTTAGATACTACACGCAACAAAATTTTGCATTTTTTGGCTTCCAAGCGACCAACAACAGTCACAGGCGAAAGTGAAGGGCCCACGAGTAGACAACAAATATTTTTCATTCATTCAGAGGGTGGTGGCTGGGAGATTTGAACACGCCTTTGGATGGGGGGCTGCCCCCCCTTGACCCCCCTCCTCCTAAAGTTTTTTCCGTGATGTTTCCGAACGGCACGGCGTAACCGCGCCCAATTTTGCACAGCTGTAAACAATTGAATGGCAGATCGTTTAGTATCAAAAACTGAGATGTACCTTGTAAGGTCGCTGATCTACGGCAGGTCAAAGTCAGCCTATGGATTCACTGAAGACAATTTCTAGGAAATCATTCAATCTGACCCAACAGCGGAGTGTTAGACGATGCCATACATTTCTGACATACTTTCTGAGACAGTGCGACAATTAAATGAGCAAATTCCATCGGCCTAGGGACAGGCATGAAGGTCAGACTAAAGTTAAAACCAAACTGTTCTTTTTTTCTAGAGCTTGCTAAATGTGGTAGTTTCTGATGCTCACTTCGAATTTATTGACAACATAGACCACATTAGATATCTTCCATGGACTTTTAAAGGCCAAGATAGGTTACTGACTTGAAATGACCCAGGTCAACATTTTATTTTCAGAAATATACGGTCTAGCCTAATCTTTCACGCTTATTCAAATGCAAAACTCAAAGCAGTCTTGTACCAATATGGTCATCATGGCATTCGGAGGGTTAAACAGGGCCACTGGCATTAGGTGAGCATCAGTGACCTCTTGCCTAGAACAGGCATCTAGGTTCTGGGGCACTTTGGACACCAACCTGGAATTTGACCTTGCTTGACCTGAAGGTTATAATCTAGGAGCCTCGAGTTTTGCCACAAGTGAGATTAGGTAGAGGCAGACAACTTGACAATTGGATATATCTAGGTGTCTTAGTTTCTGAGATCTCGGCACGAGGGGTGAGGGGGGGGGGGAGTAAATTGACCGCCGCCTACCCGGGCGACGGGCATTTAACTGAGCGCCCGGATGCGTGTCAAGGCTCATTACGCTGTCCAGATACCGTATGCTGTTTCCGGGGGACCTGTTTGCCCATTTTAGTGGTCATTCCGGACTAAGGGAGTATTCCATGCTGCACTTGATTTTTTGTGCATTTGCTCGGAGGCCTCTGGTCTGTTGCTGGGCCCTTCCTGCTAGCGTGGCGGGGCACTCTTGTCAATTAGGGGTCCCGCATGGATTCTTCGCATTCGCCCAAAGGTCTCTGTACCATGTAGCCGGGGGCTCCACGTGCCAACCTGCCGGGGTATTCTCGGTTGCTCGGAGGCCCTTCACGTTGGTCTCGGTCGACTTGCCGACACACTCGCGATTTGTTCATGGACCCTGCGCATTGGTTCAGGGCCTCTCCAATTTTCTGTCACTCGCTTAAGGCCCTACCCTCTTGTTGAGGGCCCATCTGCTACTTGTTTGGGCACACTCGGTCGTCCGGGGCCCTCGTGCTTTCTATTTGAATGAAGGACCCTGTACACTTGTCGGAACCCATCTGTTAACCTGCTCGGGCACGCTGGATTGTTGGGGGCCGGCGCATTTGCCATTTGATGAAGGGCCCTGCAATAGGGGTCCTTTATTCAGATATCTGTCGGGGTTCATGTGATAGCCTGCTCGGGTACACTCGATATTGCGGGGCTTGGGACGAGTATCTACGAGCACTCTGCCTTCCGACCGGCTAGAAAACAGCTTTACATGGGCTTCAGATGAACTGAGGCATACTGACACAGTGGTCTTCCAGTGCTTCATCTCATCTAGGATTGCGCGGGCGCCATTGAGCGGTTTTAGCTTAGCGAGTCTTTAATGTCAAAACTGACGTGGAGCAAGGCCATGCTGTTCCGTGCGGAAATCTCGTTTATTCAATTACTTTATGTTGATGGGCTGTTCGCCGTCTTTTGAAAATGCCGCTGAGGAAGAGCCGGGATGCCAGACGCATGCTTTTGGGCCGCTGTGGTGTTCAGTTTCCGGTTCCGGCGGTGGCCGGGGGGATCCGCTCACACTGATCTGACATTGCTGAAACACTGATGAGGTCCCATGGCCGAAATATATGCGCTTATCTCCCCGCTTTTTTCCTGAGTCATTCCTACTATGCACCTTACATACTAACAACCCAGAACATACACAGGGACGCCGTGCATCACCATCCAGAGGGCTCCCCGAGAGCGTACCCCATCATTCATAGGGCTATACGGGAACCCAATCCTGTTTATTTTTGTTCCGTTTTATAAGGCCATGCGGACAGCCAGAAGAGCGGGGGTGCAGCCAGTATTTCCTTAAGAGCGGAGGAGAGCGGAGCTCGCTCAGAACGCATCTCACTGATTTAAAGCCTTATGTCCGGAGCCATCTTGGCGAAAAAGAGAAGAATCCAAGCAAAAGAGGATGGGAGGGGGGGGGGGGGGGGTCACTGAATCATCCCTGGCTGCATCCCTGTAGAAGCGCAAACCAGGAGATCGTTGCACTTGCACAGTTTTTTCTTTTTAATGTCTGCGAGGCAATCATGGTCTCCAAGGCTTATGTGATGTTATGGGGAATGCTTCACATTTACATGAGGTCTTGAACTGAAATAGCCATTTCGAAGACCTTTCGGTGCTGTTCACGATCCTGCCCTTGTTAAGACCTGAGCCACTGTAGTTTCTGAGTCATATACCCACGAAAATGGGGAAAGGTAAATTGTAGAGAGCATTTCAAGTCACCTTGGCATTCATGACGTCATGATAACCTCATTTAAATTCTGTCATTCCATAAGCCGTGCGGCAATCATGGCAAATAAAAATACAGCGGTTGAGGCGTTCATATCTGACGTTCGTGGGCGCGATTTCCAGGCGTATCAGTCGTCAAGTGGCTCTGAATCAATGCTGTGCAGGGTACGATTACGTAAATAAACGATGGCGCATTGAGGAGCGTATTTACTAAGCAGATAGTTGTGCTGTCTAGAGCAGTCTTTTCCACTTGAAAAGTAAACCAAAAGTTATAAGTGAGCTTGTTTCATTCTATCTGGTGCATGCATATCGTCAAATGTGAAACATTCCATTTCATACATTTTGACAGGGTCATGTAAACGCTACAGAATGAGGAATCAGAGGAGGATTTGTGCTTGCCTCTGACGAGAAGGCCTCATGGCAGGAAGCCCTGTGGCCGATGGCAGCGGCCACGCAAAGGTCAGGTGACGTCAGAGGGCAGAACGGACCGTACCGAGCATTACGGCACATCAAACTTTCACTACCAAATTCTGCCTCTGACCTGAAATTGCACGATCGGGTGGTAGGGGTTAGGGCTCACGCAACAAGCACTGCTTGGTTTCAGCTCTGATCCCAGAAATTTGTCCATTCAAAAGGTTTGACGTAAACTTTCCAAAGCGTAAAGGTAACCTCTAGCAATTATAAGGCCACAACAAGACCAGAGCTTAGAAGCAATTTCACCAGCATAGCCAGGCCCAATATGCGTAAATGCGGTACAAATGAACGCCCCATAGCGGTCAACTTGCCCTTATAATGTTAGCAAAGTCAGGACGGTTTGAACTCCCCATAAAATCATATGGACCTTAACTCGGTCAGGAGCCTGGAAAATCCCGCGCCACATACCTTACGGATGGCCACGGGATGCAAACCACTGGTCCCAAGGTCTGTTATGGATTAAAAGGATTCGGTTACACTGTTTAGGCTGGCTAAACTGGAATTCGAAAGGGATGCGGCCCTGGATGCCAGATGTGAGTGATCACGGCGAACGAATGGTTTTGGCGACGATGCGCGGAAACGTGTGCCGATTCTTCCTTCAATGTTCATACCTGATACGAGACCGTTTTGCTAGGCGCACACATGGTGGGGTCGGTGGTAACGTAAGGTAACCTCCCTCTCTGCACCTGTGTCCAGTGCGACAGCTACTTCAGGCACCTTAGCCGCTGAGCATCCGTCCACAGTCGCCGCGTTGAAAACCAAAATTGCAGGTTTTTTGAGACCGTTAGTACCAGGCATCGCTGCAAGTCAAGGCCTGCAGTTGTTGTCAAAGCTGCAGTTGTTTTCGGAATCCCGTTTCAGCTCCCGCGGGGACACTTGTAGCGGGGACACATGGACGGAAATGGTCAAAACCAAAGACCCTTCCTAAGGATGCGGTGGGCTCATCGACCATCCCACTTGCAAGTGGGGGACTTGTACGTCCGAAGGCCCGGCTGAGCTCTTTTTGGCGTTGAGAGGCAATCGCACGACATGGCATCTGGTGATGTGCCCAGGGTTTCGCCCCCAAAGAGAGGAAGGGGAACATCTCGGACCAAGGGACTTTGGCGGCCAGGTGATTATCCGAGTCTCAATTAGAGGTTTAGGTTTTTGGCAATGCTTGAGGTTGAGGACGCATTCGGGTGTTGTGATGACTCGATACATCACCCAGATATCTCTTTGCCCATTTAGGCGTTCTGTAGGCACTTTTCACAGCCGAAAAGCATCCAGTGATCAGCCCCTTAGAACCACACAGTCACCAAGAGGGCCCTGCGGCCCCCGGTCACACAGAACCCTGCAGACCCGAGCAGAAGCCCACTCAGCCTACCTAGGGGTATGTCCCCAGTGGTTTCCTTTGGGATCGTCACTGATGACGCGATGTACGCGATGTACTATCCAAAAGCGATGTTTCGGTGTACATGAATGCATTTATACTTACCCATATAAGTATAC